TATGAAGATGACACTTTAAAATTATTTTTTTTCTTAACTGTGATAGTCGTTTTTCACCATTTTCTGGTCATTTTATAGATAAAAACAAGTGATCGATTTTCATAAAATAATTGGCAAATGAATAGATGATGAAAATAATTGTTAGTCGCAGCCCTACTCATTTATTTAAATTGTATTATGATGACCAAGTAGGATATCCATTATGCTCGGATGAAGACTTCATGCCGAAATAAGTCAGGTTATATACAAAAAATGGGCCAAAAAAGAGGGGGCATTTTACTTTTCTTTTGTGCTGCCGTTTTCCCGAACATTGTCATTTTTATCGTCTTTTTTTGGCAGCAGAAACAAATATGAAAAACATGCTAAACACAACAATACAAAATGGATGTTTGGATATTTAGTCTGAAAATCATTGATTGGTGAGTACAGGTACGCCTGGTTCTCTGTTTATAAGCAGAGCCACTTGTGCTACTATTACTGCTACCACTACTGTTGTTTCCTTGAACCTTTATGGATGCATATTTTTCAGTTTGCTGCATCTGTGTTTGTTTTTCTTTTTAAGACCGACAAAAGTCAAGCGAATCACTTCCACCAGTTGTTCCACATCCTGCTCGCTATGGGACATTCTTGGGCTGACAGGTAAACAGTAAAACACCTCAACACAACTACACACATGACACAGAGCAGGTTATGGAAGCTGCTAGCTGATGTTAGCTAATGCTAGTTGTGAATTGGCTCTTAGAGATCAAAGAATGGTTTTGTTAAATGGTTTTAAAAACTTTTCACACTGATGGAAAGGCACATTATGTTTAAAATGGGGTTTGAATCGCAAAAGTGGTCTCGCCTGGAATAACAGGGAAACTGACAGTTGTCAATGTCGATCAATACTTTATGTAATCGGCACCCCACCCACCACAGACATCTGTTTGTTATTACAAACATTGGTCTTCGAAGATGCCTTTTGTCCCATGTGAAATGTTTTTGCTTAACTTGAGTATTTTGTCTACTTTTTATCCCACCTTATACCTCTGCTCCACTACAATATTATACTTTTTACTCCACTTCTACCATCTGACGCTTAAAGGTGAACATTTTCTTTCAGAATGTATAATAAAGTTATAAAATATGATAAAAAAATTTGCTGATGATACTTCTGCATTTTTAAAGTTTTATGGCAGGACCTTTACTTGTAACAGAGTATTTCTTTAAGTATAGTACTGCTTGTTTATATAACCACCACTGGTTGCAGGTGTGAGCATGTGCCCTTTGGCCTGGTGCTGGGTATGAACACCCGGAGGGGTGAGGTGGTGTTTCTGGAGGACGTGCTGGACGAAGCTCGGGCCAGGATGCTCCACAACATGAACCAGTCAAAAAGTAAGACCTGCCTCACCTTACAGCTCTCTGCCAAAGGTATATTTGCACGTGTCCTTGTATTTCACATGCAGCTGACACTTCAAGTAATTGCTCATACAACTGGTTTGTGCAATATCACCATTGTGGTATTTAAAAACAGACATTTGCTTCACATGTGGTGCATTTTACAGTGTCTCTCTGTCAGTGGGCTTCGTGGATGGTGGTGATACAATGGTTACATTTTTGTGAACAATAATTTGCATCGGTATCCTAAAGTTACAGTTTGATTGATGTCTAATGTTTGAAGTATAGTATCATTTCCTGTTCCTTTACAAGTATGTTGACTTCACGTACACTAACTGCAAAAAAAGATAAGTTTATATTACATATAGAGTTCAGTCCAGCTCAACGTGGATGCTCCCAGTTGTCTCAACCACAGTGTAATTTAGGATATTTGTTTCCATTATAGTGGGATCATTTTGATTGTAGTACATGAGAAATTCCTTCAGCCAGAATATTGACTGACGAGACTAAACTACTGCGGCTGTCATAAGGGACGCACATGTGTCTCTCAATCTCTTTAAAATGGCAAATGCTAAGAAAAGCTGCCAATGTGAGAACAATGAGCCTGTATTTGCTTTTCCCACAGCAACAAAGGAAATGGATAACCCAGAGGACACAGCAGAGAAAGTGGGAATCAGTGCGCTAATAGTGCAGGTGAGTTGTTACAGTTCTGAACCTTACCTCTAGTATCAAGTCACATATTCAACGGTTTCATTTCCTTATCTGCACAATGCGAGTAGAGAGATTCTATTTTCCATTGACTGTGTTTCAGGACTTCAGAGGTGCGCTGCAGTCAGACTATAAGTTTGACTGGGACAGGATGCTGCAGGCTCAGGGAGACACGGGAGTTTTCCTCCAGTACACACATGCTCGACTCCGCAGGTCTGTGTTCACCACCTGCTGAAAATAATGAAACTCTGTTTCGGTATTCTAGTCTTACAGTCACTCTTAGGGATTTAGTCTGTGTCGAGGATTAAAAAAGCATTACAACATATTTATCTGTAAATGTACATCAACATGTGTATGACATTGGCTCATTCACATGTTTATCATGGTGTCGTTACTGCAGTTTAATACGGAGGAATGAAGGTGTCGAGGCAGTTATATTTGATCCATCCCTCCTGCTTGAACAGACGAGTATCGCGATACTGCAGCACCTCCTTCGGTAAGCAAACCACTTTTTATCCCCCAAGTCTTCTGCATATCGTCAAACAATGACAGACGTCAGTTTTATCAATATTTGCTCCATATCTAATAAAAAAACTCAATGTACTCTGTGTAGCTATGACGAAGTGTTGTACCAGTCGGCCCAGGATCTGCAGCCCAAACACCTGGTCAACTTTTTATTGAAGCTCTGGTAAGAAGGATGTTTAGTCGCGAGGGTGTGCCAGGAGCTTTTGGTGGTTAATGTTTAACTGGCTCCATACCGTCTGTGTAGCCACAATGTTTTTTGTGTACTGATGTTATACCTCTTCAATCTCTTGCAGCCACCTGATCGCCTCAGCACATAGAGAGCTGCCGGTGAAAGGAAGCTCTCAGGATGTTGCACAGGTAGGAAGAGAACCACTCAAGTACATATTTGTGGGTTTTTTCTTTTTAAATGCACCATCATGCAATATTATTCAGTCAGTAAATCGTAATTAATATAAAAAAAATAAGCACATTGGTTGCCCCTATCGGCTTCTGCAATGAATTAAACATGTCGTCACAGATTAGGTTTGCGTTATTACAACACAAATATTTCTGATTCAAATTCTGACTATTATTGTATTAAACTAATTATGTATTGGTGGTCTGCGTAGTATTAAAGCAAGACATTCTAACTGTGAATCGTCAACAAAATAAATGCAGTTTTGTATGTTTATTTTCTGCAGCTGAATACATTTGCAGGAAACATTTATATTTACAGATGGTCGCAGGTTATGTTTTTACAGTATAAGACATTGCTAATAATATTACCATTGCTCGTCTTGCAATTTGAAAATAGCACTTTTTGAGATCCTGATGTAAAACGACTAATCATCTGCATCACGTCACAGAAAAATCGGCCTGTTAATGCATTGAGAAAAAGCATGAAGACGGATAGTAAATTCCATCCTGGTTCAGCTAAACTCAGTGATAAACAAATGAAAATGCTCTTAATTGCAAAAAATTAAGCGTTCTTATCTCATTTGCCGAATGTCAACAGGCAAGGTTACGACTGTTCAGCGGGGCCTGCTCTGTCCTGGCCAATGGGATGAGGATCCTGGGCATCACACCAGTTGATAAAATGTGAAACTTAACTGTATTACATCACTGTTATTTTAACTGCTTTAGTTCATCTTTACTATAAATACATGCCTTTTACATTTTCAAAATAAAATACCATCGTCCTCAATTCACAGGAGCTTTTTCTTGTCCTCTCGTCTCGGGTAGTTTCCACTCACACACATTCATCAAAGCCAGTTGGTCGTCAGTTGACAGCTGGAGATTAGTCGAACACAAAATGCAAAGGGATGTAACTCGACTCCTATAGTTCCAGGTAAGTAACTAGATATAAAGAGCATACATGGTTAGACCAGTCCAATCATGAAGTATGTCGTACATGTTAACTGCTCATGTTGAGTAAAAGTAGTTGCCGTTGCTTTTTCCATTAGGTTTCAATGAAAGCTTTTAAAGCGACTTTCAAAACACAATGCAACACTGTTGTGATACAAAAGATTCAAGACACTAAAGAGATATTATAAACTTATAATCACATATGCAGTATTTCATTCTCCTTCAGAATCAGCACTATATGATACAGACAATAACATTGCACAGTGTAAAACATTAATTACCCCCAAAAACAACTACATGATAAGAAGTTGTGATATTTATACGCCGCCTAGAACATTTACGAACTTTAAACGGCTAGCTATAAAGGCCAGTTTAAGATCAAATGTGGGTTTTCTTTTCTTCGTATCAACTGAAAGATTGCGTGTATCTACAATTGAAGTGGATCAAAAGCTGTCGTCTATATGGTGACCTGAACACAGAGACGACTCAACCGAGTGTTCATTTGGCTCCCAAGTGCAGGAGCTCTTTATAACAGACCAGGTCCACCAGCGAGAGAGAGACTCTCGGAGGTCGGCGTCTCACACAGTGATCAGTCTCTGTTTGGACTCCTCGTCTTTATCTTTCGGGCTCAGCTTTAATGTTTCTTGCTTCGGAATTCCATACAGGTAGATGGAAACACACACCAGGAGTGCTCCGGAGGCAAATGGGATCGCTGCGCAATAGGGAAAGAATAGCAAAATTAGGCATTTATTTAATTTGAAAATCATAAGCCATAACACCACGCCTCACCTGATGAGCCAGAATGACTCAGCATACCAACAATGTGGTCTTGAGAAACGTACTTATCTTTAGTCCGAACATGACGACAGACGCCACTGTTGAGAGAACGATGGCGGCTGCAGCAGAGAAGCCTTTCATGATGTTGTCTGTGTACTTCACTACCACCGACGTGTAGAGACCACCCACACTGGCCAAGACTGGAAGCACAAAGAGCAGTGTCAGCTAAAATACTGTGAAGATAAGTGAAATTAATTATTAAAAAAAGAAACCATCCTCAGGTTTAGTCGTACTTACATACTACAAAGCACACCAAGGGCGTATAACCGAAGAAGAAACCTTTCTCCAGGATCTTCTCACCATCGTTTATGTAAACACCAAACAGTGTGACCACAATACCGGACAGGTACATCTGGATGTTTCTCACCCACAGAGACGTGTCTGAGCTCTTCAACACCTTCTCAAAGTACACACCTTAAATCATAAAGTAGACACACAACTGTTAATACACGAATATTTTGCGACAGGTATCTCAAATAACGTTAAAAACATGACGGATCAGCAATGCCAATAAAAATAATCAATTCACTTTAAGCAACTCCTAATGAGAAAAGACATCATCCCTTTACTTGGCTGGTCAATGCAGCGTTGTTTGGCTGGTCGGGTATTTCTTTATGGCAGCTAAACAAATATTTGACAAAAAGGTGAATCCACCATCTGTCATTTTCACTGAATCATTTGCCAAAATTACCTGCAAACCCTGAACAAAGGACAGCAATAGCAATGGCGATGAACCCAAACAAAGGATTTTGCTCAACCTGGAAGACAAAAAAAAAAAAAAAAACATGGCATGAGCCACCAGAGACTGTTAATACCATTTGCATTTTGATCCACGATAGTGTAAGCCACAGGACATATATTTAAGTGGATAGTCGGGATGTTTATAACATTTAAATTTTAATATATGCCACCCCCACCTGAACCTTAGTGGCCTCTCCAGGCTTCCATTGGACAAGTGTTACGCCCGCGCAGAGCATGAAGACAGAGAACCACTGCATCCGGCCAAGAGAGCGGTTCAGCATGAAGACTGTACACAAGGCTGTGCACGGGATCTTCAGCTGATAGGTCACCTACACAGAATAAACACAAGTTAGCTCTAAAAACTATTGGTTTTTTAAAAACCTATTTATAAAAGTTAGGTGAACACACATACTGTGGGTATTATGGGAACTGCTGAGAATAACCACTGCTACACTCCTTTCACCATGAATGTCACGCATTTAAGGGATCAATATTTCTATATCGGAAGTTTCGTTTAATAAACAGTAATTCTGCTAACTGATCAGTTGGTTGAGTCAGTCATCAAGCAAAAACAAACATTTAATAGGTTCATTTTTTTTAAAGTCTTTGCTGCTTTCTTTTCTGTTTTAATTAGAATGTCTTGAGTTTTTGGACTATTGGTTGAACAAGTAGAGAAGTTTAAAGAGGTTAGAAATGTGTAATAGACATTATTTCCCTTTTTTTTTTTTTACATTTGGAAGACTTAAACAAGCGTTTAATAAACAAATGAGTCAATAATGAATATACGAGATTTTATTTGATTAGACTAACTGCTAACTAAGTGACACTTGGTCAAATATGCAGCCAGTGGCAAGCAAGTGGCACTCGTTCGACACCCATCAAGAAAATGCCAAGCGGGTGGAGCCACATTTTCTGAGAACACCCATTGTTGTTATCAGGAAATGATTTTGATTAAACTATATTACGAACTGTATTGCATCAAACCATCCACAGATTAATCAAAAACTTGATTCTTGCTGTGTACATGCCTTGCTGTGTATTTGACAGAATGAGTCATACAAGTTCTTTCTACATTGTTAAGTGGGTACAGCACAGACGCATTCGGCTCACCAACAATCAACACCCAGCCCTTGTATTACAAGTGCATTCATTAGAACCTAATTTAAACAATCTTCAGTTCATACCTGATAAACCGCTGCATCAAGGTTACTCAAGGCAACAAAGGCCATGTTGTTCTGAATTGCATACACTACAGAGGGCACGCTCAGCTTCAGCAGTTCTTTGGGGCTGCAGAATATATGTTCCACTAAAGCATTCTTCAGTCTGGTGGGGCTTCCTGTTTCTCTGGAAGAACAGGCACAAAACACACTCATGAAGATTGTAAATACTTTGATTAATTAAAATAGACAAAGGCAGCTCAGAACCTCCGACAGTTTCATTGTTCGTCCAAAGTTGATGACAAATGCATGTAGTGAGGCTGCTTTAAATGTGCATTAGACTACAACTATCTTACTATTAACTCCAGTCACGGGTAAAGTACTTTAGAGTGTGCTGAATGTAAATGAATGTATGCGTATGAATGGTGCTACACAAACAAAGTTTGCTAGGTTTCTTATTCATAATTATTGTAGAAACACTTTTTCCATGTATTTTTTAAAGTATACTCCTGTGGTGAAAGTAACACTTACATGGTCAGTTACACCTAACACTTACTTTGACAGCATCCCTAGACTCAGTATTAATTTAACGACCTCAGCGATGCACACAGCAGTCGTGGAGAAGTACAGATCTGTTGAGATGGTCCTCGTGTACCGCAGTGACACTGTGTATGTAGCCGCCACCAGTGTCATCACTGTCAGGCAGTACAGCTTGAAGACCACGCTCACATTTTCTGTGGAGGGACGGAGTGAACATGTCGTTACGATGTTATTTTAATGTAACTAACAGCCATTCCCGTACAGTTACACAAGTCACAACGAGTGTTATCACCTCCGTTAACGGAGAACTATAAGCGGCACATAACTACTAGCATTTAGCTCAGTGTCTTAGTGTTACCGTTGGTCCACTAAGGGGTAGCATTACGCTATCATAGCTAGCTTGTATTAAATCGTAAAAACTCACCGACAGCCATCTTTTCTGTGATTCGTGTCCGTCCCAGATGAAAGGGAGAGGAAGTCGATCTGCCTGTTCACTTTACATCGCGTCAAAACTGACCACGTAGCCAGGTCTGGAATGGAAGTTGTTGCTCGACCGGCTACACAGCAGTGTTTATCTACCTGCTTCGGTTTTTCCTGCCTAGTGGCCATAGCCCACTTTACCCAGAAAGCAGCGCGAGTCCTTTAAGAAGAGTGCGTTTGTTTTCTGTACCTCGAAAAGTCTGCAAGTTAAGTCCTCTGTGGTCACTCAGTACCATTGATGCTCTTTACGTTACATTGCAGTGAAAACCAAACGGTTAATGTTACCCTCAAAGGTATTCAAGTTAGTGTTTTTACAGGTATCTACTGTTACTGATACGTAAAACAATGAATTCCCCAAAGTACTCTTGTTTTAGTTCAGGCAGGACACAATATTAAAATCCGCATTTTGACAGGCATGTAAGAAAACACAGATTCGATGAATATATTTTTGAATGTATTTATTTTTGACAATGAAAAACTTGGTTTTGGTTCAAGTAATATGCCAATTGCTACCAGATATTTTATATATGCAAGAAATCAGGTTTGCAGCGAGAGTGTATTGAAATGCAATTTTCCATCACTGTAAAAAACTGGTTTGACTCTATCATCTTTTATATAACATAAAATAAAGTGGGGATATATGAACTCTACAGGTCATAAATGTATAACAACAATATGATCACAATTATGGACGTTTTTAGAGATACAGCTAATTAAAATAAAGGATTTCTGACAGTGTCACATTAAACACAAGAAATATATTGCAGCATTCTGCTAAGTGACAACATTTTCTGTTAAGAACATAGTTCATGTTCTACATCACAATCTCTCTGACCTTCAGGGCAGGAGGAGTGAATCTTCTCCCTCTGACTGCAGACAAAATACCACAACACACATCACAGCATGTTGGGAACACATTGAAACGGCAGGCGATTTTAAACGGTAGAGAAGCAATGGTATTACCCATCATAGAAGATATTCTTAGATGTTAAAAGTTATGGGACAATATCCACAACTTGTTGTTTACTTCCCACAAAGACCCCAGCCTGGGATATTGTTTTGGTGTAGCTCTACTCACAAATGGCACAGTGTCCATCAAATCCATGCCCTGCTGCTGGAGGGAAAAGATGCAGCGTACACGGATTGAGCAATTTAACTGCAACAAAAGTGAACTCAGGAGTTGTCAGAGGGAACATGCTCGAGGCCTTCGCTCTCCCTCACCAGCGCCCTCTCCAGAATGACACGGCCCTCCTTATAGCGCTGGCTTTCCTCGTTGGCGAACTCATACGTCCAGCCCAGCTTGCTGTTGCAGTTCTTGCAGGTGACGTCCCTCACCATGTGTCTTCCTGTCAGCATGACTCTGTCTTGCACCTCGCTGTGCTGCAGATTCACAACCTGGAGAGCAGCAGCCAGATATCAGTCCCTGTGACAGTTAATTGCTATAGTGTCTGACCAACACCCAAACCCAAATATATTAAATTTAGAATGATAAAACGGTGATAAGCTTGAAATCCTCACATTTGAGAAGCTGGAACCATCACATGTTTGGCATTTTGCTTGGAAATTGTCGTCAACAATCGATTAATGGACTAATTGTCCACAGTCATACTATCTTACCCTCCTCCTAACTTAATGAGGAACTGGTCATTATATGGATAACACACTTTGTTAATATTAACTGAGCTATTAACTTATATCACAGTCCTAATGTGTTACACTACAGTAGTGATCCTTTATCATTTCACCATTAAACTAAGAAGTGCAACACTACTGTTGTCCACGATCCAAGTGAAGGAGGTGATGTGCAGGTACCTTGTTGAACAGCAAAGCTCGTCCGGTGGCCCCAGTGAAGCGCGTGGAGATCAGTTCAGCTCGGTTGGTCAGAATGGTGTCACAGTTTGCACAAGAGAAGAGGCGAGTCCCACCAATGTGATCCAAGAAGATGCGCCCCATTTTGTCCACCACAAGGTAAAAACAAATACATGTAAAGATAGTTACCTTGTTCCATCACCTTTTTTTTCTTTACATGCATTACCAATATTATAATTAATACTTTGAGACATCAGGCATTTTTCTATATTGTTAACTCCAGTAACATCTCTTGAATTAGGCCATTTTTGGCATTGTTGCAAACCAATTACCAGTTTTTCCTTGAAGTACATTTGTGAGGTATTTTATTAGCTGGATTTGCCAAAGATATTCCAGTCTGATCATTTTTTTCATTAACAATCTCAATTGTTTTATTACATTTCAAAATATATGGATGACATAACATTTCATATACTGTGACAGAGGACTTTACAGTTATTTTGTGCTAAGCTATCCGTTGTAACAGGTATGACGAAAAAGCATTTTATAGTGATTTTTTTTTTTGGCATTCATCGTCTCACTAATGTTCGGTGTTTACATCCTCAGTTGAGAAATGTATACATGATATAAATGATAACTTTGATCGTCTCTGTAACACAAACTATACCATGAAGTTTGGTTTATTTGCAAGATACATTTTGTGGTTACTCGCTGGGATAAAAACAGTACTATTTGTGGGTTATGAGATTCACTTGAAGGTAACATGTGGCCTGGTATCTCAACAAGAAAAACATTTCACTGTGGATTTAATTAAGAGAACAAATGCATCCAGATAACATGAATAGGCCAAGCACCGGTTAACGCTGAATCCACGCCACAATTCTCACCTCGCAAAAGTTAGCTAGCTGAATAGCAGTTGCCAAGAAACGTAGATATTTGTCGACGAAGTGTCTCTAAATTAACGGTAATCGCCGGCTTGTCTTTAGTCCTCACCGGTCCCCGTCTCCTCTGTTGTTACTGTGGTTAATCTCTGATGAAGCTAGCCGTGATAGTGGCGTTAGCTTCATCACGTTAGTGAGAACGAGAACGAGAGCTTCCGCTCAGGACTTTCAAAGTTAATCCCCTCTAAAAACATGTATCGAGTCAAGGCCATTTTATCTTGTGGAAATTTTGAACTACTACTTATGAACTTATATATTATTCATACTAAAGACTAGAGTCCTCAACACCATACGTGTAATAAACTTTTTTTCCAATTACAAAGTCTATGCTTTTATTTTGAAAGCAAATTCTCCCCAGTATTTCAGTGTTTCTCTGGTAACTTAATGTAGCTCCATTTGATGACCACAGGGGAGCAGCAGAAACACCTGTACAAACATCAAGGAATGTGATTGACCCATAGCATTGGATGTTGCAGTATGTGTGCAACTTTTTTTTTTTTTTTTTTAAACATTGGCGTTTTAACCCACAAATAGTGGATTGAAAGGTTGAATCTCATACAATTTTATTTTGTTTAAAAAGTTGCACTCATGACTGCAGGACATGTTATTAGGACTGATATTGAGTGGATTTTCCTGATTAAATTAGTAAATTGAATTGTATTGAATTCACCTGACAGAGAGCTGTGGATTCAAAGAACATAAGAGAATGTTTTGGATCTTGGAAGAGTTTCTACTCTTCAGTGTTTCATAATCACAAACATTAAAGCTTGTTAAAAGTCTGGCGATATTATATGTTTTTCTTACTGTCAACAAATCCCATGAATAGACCAAAATCAAGAATGAATTAGAACAAGTATTGTCTGTGTAGTTAAAGACTGATATAGCTTATTCCACAGTGCTTCATTGTTGTCCCAAACTATTAAAGTTAGTTTTTCTGCTGAACGTGTCTAAAACAGAGGACTTCAAAGAGTATCGAGAGACGGGCTAACACATTTGGGATTTGTTGATAGGAAAATATAGAATGTAGTCAGCCTTATCCTTTAAGATCAGTCAATGGTTTGTTAGGTGTGTTCATTTAATGTGTCATAAAAGTTAATACTTTGCTGCCATGGTGCCAGAGTTGCCTGTTGGGAAAACAAGAAGAAAAGCAGGAGAACGTGCATGTAGTTATCAAATATTACAGACCAATTTAGCATTGATCAAGGCTACCACAGTCCGCACCTTCCTGTGTGCTACCCACGTGAATGTACAGCCAAATACATATCGTCATGTTCGATAACAAAATCCTGCAAACAAGTAACCAATTAACTTTACAGCTATGATAAAGAAAATCAAGACAATCTGATTTAACTGGTGATACTAGGCATGCATTCAAATAAAAAGATAGGTGTAGTATAAACTCTAACAGGCTTGACTGTAATTCCATATAATCACATGCTTCTTGCTCCACATCTACCGGCTCTACCAGCTCAGTAAGCTTTTGGCTTTCATTCTATCTGTGTGCTTTACCCTCCATCTCATATGTGTTCACCAGAGTGTTCATGAAATCCCAAAGCCTCTCATCTGAAGTTACATGACAAGTGAGCCAAAGCCATTAGTGATGTCCCAAAACACCACACAGAGATCGTAGCAGCTAGAGAAGCGGCAATTGGTAACATCCATCCAGTGGTCTGTCGCTGCTGTTGGTGGGATATGAAAGCAGAACTCTTTGATGTTGTTTCTTACTTTGATGCTTTTTTTTTTATAAACTAAAAAGACTGACTGAGGAAAGAATCGTCAAGCTTTGTCTTTCAAAAACATGTCTCAGAAGCTGGATTCTCACCTCTGTTTTTGTACTGAAGTTGTCAAAGACAAAGTTAAGAAACCTCTGCAGCTTTCTTCAATTTGTGACCATTTTGTAAGTTGTAAGAAAATTGATGAATAGCTTTGATTCTTCAGGAGAAGACATAAAAGTGACGGATTTTTACTTTTATCTTTCACTTTAAATCTAGAATTTTACTTTTGTCATGCGTCTTCTCCTCTCTTGATTCATCTCTTTGTCCCCAGCTACAGAGCTAACATCCAACAGCTCTTTCTCTGTCTCAGGCTTCTACGTACCAGCCTTGTTTGTGATCAGATCTTTTAAGCTCTGCGATGAAATCCTGTCTGTTGCACCTTTTCTTGAGATAAAGAAGGAAGTGATTTACGGCCAGTTCCCGTCAGATTTTAATTGTTTGTACAAGACAGGGCAGGGGCAGGATTGTAACTCCAGCACAAACTGTTCAGCCCATCTAAGCCTGTTCAAAGATTAGTGTAGATCGCCGAGATAAAAGCCATGCTTCAGCAGGCTGTTCATGCAGAGTTGATGTCCTTGAGGGAAGATAAAAGACTTTAAAGGCAGTACAACCTCTTATCTGTATTCCAGTAATCATGATTGGAGTCGAGTCTTCGGTTAGAGACAACGTTCATACTTCTGCAGCACGTAAGATCTGCTGAGAACATCAAGGGCACTATTACCTCCATTTACCTCCATCACTTCAATTCCATTGTCATTGTTGTTGTATAGGTTTATATTCATATATATATATATACTTTTGGATATATATTTATATTGTACATAGTCGTTAAATGTTTATACTTACATCTGTTCTACTTATTTTGTTGTCCGTGTTTTATTTTTTTATATTTTTCCTGTTTATTTGTATATTCTGTAGCAAAGTGAAAACCGGAGTCAAATTCCTTGTATGCGTACGCATACATGGCCAGTAAAGCTGATTCTGATTCTGATGAAGACATCATAACTGCACATGTTTCAGTACAAAGTCAACTTCAGCTTGTAAACTTGTACAGTATGTGACTGTGTTCAGCTGTCCAAAACAATTAATACAGTGCTAATGCTGGCAGGATTAGAGGCGGTGTTAATGTCTGTACTTCATTACACAAAAACAGTAGTAGTTGTAGTAAAAAAAGTTGTTTTCTTAACTTCTTTGCCACCTCTCTAATCAGAGAAGAGATAGTTGAACTTTACGACACTGAAAATCACTGTTATCTAAAAAAGAGCAAGTTCGTTTTGCTGCCTAAATATATTAAGTAAGTACAACATCATCATGCAGAGTGTGGTTTAATAAATGAACATTTTTCAGGTCATCTCCACTGTATCCAAATAATTAAGTGGATGTAGATACAGATTTTTCATTGAATCATATAAAACCCACATCTGGTTCAGTAGGGAGTTAGTGTAACACAAGCAACTCACTGGACACCACCATCTTTCCACCCAATTCTGAAATATACTGTACAAATTTTTAATAATCTTAGTGTGAGTAGACATTCCACTCCATTTATACCAAATGTATGTAACTCATTCTGACATGAAGCCAACAAGGAGCATGGTTGGGGGGAAATTAGTTGTTTTCCGCCACTGAAGTCATAAATCCTTCTAAAAAAAGAGATAGCTACAACTGTTTCTGGTAATAACCAAGATAATCTTTTCCCCTTGCACCGGCGGAGTTTTGCCCTGTCGCAACATGAATCTGTTGTTACAGTCATCATAAAAAGTGTAGTAATTCCTGACCTTATATTATTGTAGTGGAGAGGTCAAGTCCACATTCCAAGGACTCTTATATCAGGTGTTAAAGGAAAAGTACAGAAAACCACCTACCGGTGGGAGATCGACCATCTGGTGACATTGTGCGGGCTAAACAACTTAGAGCTCAACGCTCTAAAGACAGTGGAGATGGTTGTGGATTTCCAGAAAAACACAGCCCCAACTGCCCCCATCACCCTGTCGCCGCTGTGGAGTCCTTCAGCTTCCCGGGCTCCACCCCGAAGCTCCATCACCAAGAAGGCTCAGCAGAGGATGTACTTCCTGAGCCAGCAGAAGAAGTTCACCCTGCCAAAGACAATGATGGTGCACTTCTACACTGTCATCATTGAGTCCATCCTCTGCTCGTCCATCGCGGTCTGGTAAGCGTATCATTCACTCTGCTGAGAGAGTAATTGACTGCAATCTGCCCTCCCTCCATGACTTGTTCGCCTCCAGGACCCTGAGGCAGACAAGAACGACTGTAGCCGACACCTCTCACCCTGGACACAAACTGTTTGTTTGGTCCCTCTGGCAGGAGGACCAAAACCTCACGCCACAAAACAAAAGGTTTCTTCCCTTCTGTAGTTGGGCTCATCAATAAAGCCCCGGACCCCCACTGACTCAGACACTTACATCCCCAGCACAATTTCTTACAGTTGCATACCCCTGCTCAACTCTTCTCTATTAATATACACTTGACACTTTAATAACTTGTTTTTTGATGTACTTTTATTTGTTTACCATATTTTATTGTAAATTTTCATATTTTCTAGTTGATTTTGCACTGTGTTTATTGTTATGCACCAATCATCTAACCAAATTCCATGTATATGTACCGTACTTCGCAATAAACCGTTTCTGATTCTGATATAAAAACATTTTTTGATCGGACATTATCCAACAAATATGCTGGTATTGGCGGATTCTGTTACCGTTGGACAAAGCCAAGCTGTTTGCCCTAGTCTTTATGCTAAGCTAACTGGCTGCTGGCTCCAGCTACATACTATACAGATGTGAGAGTGGATGTGAGCAATGTGTGTCGAGACTATATGAGCAGAAGTAATCTGAATGAAATTTGCATTAAGTTTCAAAGACAACTGTACGTCTTCACCACTTTGGGATGTCGAGCCTGAATCATTGTTACAATTATAGTTTAAACACTGAAGACAAAACAAAGCCGATACACATGAAGTCATGCCGTGTAGATGCAGATGTGCAGATTTGATTGTAACAACAGAACAGTGTTTTTTATTTTTTACTTGTTAAACCAATAGAAAAAGACCTTACTTGCTTCTGTGTCTAACAGCACAACTGATAATGTATTCGTTTTAGCAGATAAACGCTTGAGCCTTAACGTTATCTCTTTAAACTTTAACTCTAACTGTCTTGATTATGGCCGTTTTTCCAGTAGTAGTAGTAGTAGTAGTAGTACATTACAGTGTAGCTGCGATTTCCTTTAGCTTACCAACAGCAATGTCATTTGGTAAAATGTTATGGGAACTTAGAGTCATGTTTCAGTAATGCTATTATGTTGTAAAATATATTAATAGATTTAGCAAAAAGCTTCAGATAGTCTATGTCATTAACACCCTGAAGTTCACTTTCACTCATTATTACAATAAAAGCTTCATTATCAGTGTCATTGTTTCATTGTAAAACCTTATGGCTGTGTCCTTTGGACAAGGAGGCCAGTCCCTCCCCTCTGTGCACATTTATGATTTGTCATTATCAGTTCTGCTGACCAGATATAACTGATAATCACATAGAAAGACGACTGACCACCAAACAGAGAGAGCAGAGAGGAAGGAAAAGCTGCAGAAAAGATCCAAGAGGACAAAATCTGGGAAAAAAAGAGAGATGATGCTTCCACAGCTGGTTCTGATCACAGTCCTGGGGCTCACATGGACTAAAGGTCTCTACTGTTTACTTGATTTAGTGCTCATGTCGCTCTACTGCAGTTTTTAAAATCTGACAGGAGAAACTGATCATCACTGTATTAAACTACTATCGAGGATCTAAACATTAGAAATCATGCAGATAAAACTTGTTAAGGATCATTTGAGGGTTTAACTAGATTTGATGGTTTTTTAGTTCATTGCCTATTTTGAAATGACAACAAAATGGTGTTAAAAGTCATGAGTGATCAGAGTAATATTTGATCCACTAATGTAGCTTGCACGAGTATCTTAGTGTAATATATGTGTGTCTCTAAAGCACTTTTGAGCTGAGCTCATGGAGACATGTTTTTATGTGTTTGACATGTTTGTCGTGCACAAAATGGGAAGGTCAAATTGGAAGAAGAAGAATATTTATACAGAATATCAATATGTCTGCCTTGCTCAGTAGGCACATTTAAATACTCTGCATGCTGTTCTGCTGTTAAAAGTTATATTGAATCCACTATGATATATATATATATATATATATATATATATATATATGTATATGTATGTTTGTAATGGTGTACTCTTTCTCATTTCAGTAACTGGACTGCCTTGCACTCAGATGTTTCCCTCTCAGCCGCCCCCTTCAAATGGTAAATCAGATTAAAACATTAAACTTTATAGGAGGGAAATATTGTTTTTTATTGTTGTGGTTTGAATTGAATTGACATACTTACCTACATTACTAAAATACACTTAATTACATTTTGCTGATAAAACTTACGTACAAGTAATATTTTCACTGCAGGACTTTTACTTGTCATGGAGTATATCTATAGTGTAGCATTCTGTCTTTTACTGAAGTAAATCATCTGAATACGAAAACTCACAAACAGATTATCAGCTCTTTTTCTGTTCACTAAAAACTAATTTCACTTCTGATTTACAACATAGCAAATTGCCTTGTGCCTCAGATCTGTGATTTAATTTAACACAATCTCTTTCTCTCAAGTTAACAGCGTTAAGCCCTCAGACGTGGCGGTGCTTTCCTCCATTGGACTTCACATGCAGAGGTGAGCACAGGTCACCAGTCACTTTCATCCAGGAAGTTAAAATTCAACAATGTAGACTCAGAATTAGCCCGTGGTCTTCTCTTTTCCTGCAGCACTGAGCTGACTACGGTGGTATCGAGACTCACAGGTAACATTTAAAGTTGTATTTTGTTGTTTGTAGTGTTCACAGGACGTCAAGCCAAATGTTTCTTGGATAGTTTACTTAATTCTGTTTAAAAAGTTAATTAATTCACTCTCATTATTTACGCTGACATTAAACAGGCTTGATTGGTAAGCTTTAATAACTCGGCTGGTGATAAAATGTAGCTTTCCCTTTTATTGACCAATAGTGTAAATGCATGGTGTAAGTCATCTAAAGAGGTTGATATGAACTTCTATTACACTACTGTGCAGTATCTTTGATATCTACACTGATTGGGATAATTTGAAACAATGAACTCTGACACACTTGCCACACACCACCAGGCCTCTGTTATCTTTTTTGAAAGCCATTCATGAAATATAATGTTCTGTGCTTGATAGAGATAAACAGGAAATTCACAGTTGTTAATCGAAGTGTGATTAAACGTTTAATATCTTCTGATTAAATGTTGTTACTGGATTTTCAACCATTCTGAAACACTGTACTGTTTTCAGTAATATAGTGTTTTACTGTCAAATTAGTGTTTAATTTATAGAATAAATATGTGGTGGCTTGTAATCAATTGTTACATATGTAAGGGTGTAAAAATGTCTGCATGTTACTAATGTTGCTATTGTTTGAAAGCTTGAAAAGTATTATCTTCATGGTCACGTCAACTTACCTGTCTGTTTTTCATGATCAACTAATCTGCTTATTATCTTCTAGATTCATTCAGTAATTGTTTGATCAATGGAATATCATAAAACAAAAAGTCTGAACAACTTGTTTTGCCCAGCTAACAGTTCAAACTCTAAAACCAGCAAATATTAATTTGTTGAAAGTTATAACCAGTGAATTTTTGTCCTTTTTACTATAAATGGTTTAAAGGTACAGTGTACAACATTTAGCTATTAGCAGAAATGCAATATAATATTAATAAGTATGTTTTCTTGAGTGTATAATCAGCTGAAATTAAGAACCCTATCTATATCCTCTTCATGCAGCCGGACATCATGTTTCTACAGTAGCCCAGAAAGGACAAACCAAACATTTGCACTAGATAGGCCCCTTAGCAGTTTAATGTTTTTGCGTCGGTTTCAGTTGGTTGCAATCTGCATCTTCACCGCTGGATGCCGACAAGTCCTATGCTGTGGTTTCTTAAAACGATTGATAAAATATCATTATTGTTGCAGATACATTTTTCTGTCATTTGACTTCTTTGATAATGTAGAAATTGATTGAGCTCTGCTGTGGTTTCACCTGCAAGCCATGTGGGAAAAGAAGCTCTGGGTGTTGGAGTTAAACTTGTGTTGTTGTCTCTCCATCAGAGCTGATGACACTGTTCAATCCTGCACTCATCAGTACTATTTCAGATGAAACAAACTTGTATGCGCCTCAGTTTGTCCAACACAGGTACAGACAGCAACTTCTGGAACATGAGAAATATCGAACCAATGACTCTTGCTGCTTCCAATGATTTGTTGTTTTCTCCTTGTTGTAGCACGCTGGTGGAGCAGGCAAAGGAAGTGTCCCTCTCCCTCCAAAACAGTCAGGTATAGGTGCTCCAGTGTCTACACTCCCATCTTAATAAAGGATAAAAAAAAACGATTGGATAATCAAAAACGAAAATAATTCCCTGATATTTTATTTTACTCCTACAGGTCATTGATTTGGATAGAGATTGGAAGCTGGTCCTTCTCTTTGCTCAAGTGGATCAGCTCTGTGCCTGTGAGCAGCAGCAGGTAAACAGCACAAAATGCTTTAATATTGATGTTACAATTGATTATTGATTGTTAAGGAAAAATATATATATTTTCAGAGCTGTTTCTTGAAACTGTGTTGCATCAAACGCTGACGTTACAGAATCCAACTTATCACTTAAATAATTAACTTGATGTTTATCACATATCACACAAAGCTACAATAGTACAAACCATGAGAGCTTAAACAAGGCAGGGAAATAATCGATGCGCGGCAGATTGATATAAAGGCTACTGAAGTCACAAACTGTTGTGTTTGTGTGAAGTTTCAGTCTGTTATCAAAGCCGTGGTTGAAGAGGTGGATGATGCTCTGCAGCTGCTGCACTCTCAGGTACATTTCAGATTGTGTACAGTATTTTTCATTCAGTAGCTATAACTGCATTGCTGATATTTACACAATTAATTGACATGTTTCACGCAGCTGAAGCGAGCCATCGTCAGTGTTGCATTGTGGGATGGAGAGCGTGACAATTTCCACAACAAGTGAGTTAATTTGTAAAATTACTCATTTCTGGCCTAATGAAAAGAGTGTTTGGCCAAACAGACTTAATCACACACTGAAAAGAGAATCTTTCTCTGAATAGTAATAAACATATTAGGTTTTGACGAGCAAATCTGTTATCCTGACAGGATGTGTCGATGCATGGAGATAAATAATGAAGGAGAGGCCAGACTTCAGAGGGCCATGCTGAGTCATGCTCTGCAGGTTTGTCGATTATTCACATCAGAATATCTGATAGCTTCATTTAGGTTTTTTTTAGCTGCTGTGAAATGTTCTTCTCAACTCCTTTTCACTGAGCAGGAGTCTTTGGATGAGCTCATGATAAAGAGGCGTTGGTACAGTGACAGAGAGGACTTCACTGTCATTGTGCAGGACACACCTTCCATCACAGGCCCTTCTTCTGTCTCTGTGAGTTCACGTGCACCATTTTGCATCCCATTTTGCATCCCATTTTGCATCCCTTGTTAATTGTTTAATATGTTTAGACTCTTCATATCAGCAACACAACACTGTTGGCTGTCTAAAAAACATTTATTGTTTAGAAGCAGATGAGTGGGTTTCAAAAACGTCAGTAAATAGATACAAAACGACACAATTTAGAAAATTGCATCTGTATCAATGTAATAAACATAACACAATTAACTTCCTATCAACGCAGGATCACAGCCATACAACTACCATGCTGGCTGATCAACACTAAAATGAAAACAAAACCCACTAACTTCACCTGTTAAAACAAAACATGAAATAGGCAACCACCTCTAGTGTGCTAACAATTTACAGTCGCTATACGTGTACTGGTGCTTTGTATGTTTGTAAAAGAAAAAATAATCCAAGAATCCCGCATGCAGTTTGTGACAGTAACATATACAGTCTTGGTTATCTTACTGAAAATGTAATTTCTGTATCTAATGTACGGTACAATGTTGTTTTCTGAATGTTTTTAACAGAGTGGGGAGCCTCTCTCTGAGCCACAAGCTGCACAACAAGCTGATAAACTGATGGTGCAGATGTGGACAAACTTGGTGAGGCCTACAGCAATCTAATCAACCTCCTGCACTCTCTTTCTTTCTCATACAGACACACAAACACAGCGGTCCTTTCCTCAAGGAAAAGTACTAAAAGTACAAAAGCCCTGCATTGAAACCCTTTTAAAGTCAAAAATATGTCAGTACAATGACTTTTAATCAAAGTATCAAAAGTAAAAGTACTCAAATGCAGAACAATGTTCCCTGTCAGTGTTTAAGTATATGATTTTAACCCTCCTGTTATGTTCGTTTCTTAGGTACAGCAATGATGTTCCCGGGTCAATGTGACCCGGTGCATGTTTAATCATCCACAAGATGTCAGAAACCAAAAAATCCTAATAAATATAGTTCGTACCTCATCACCAACACCATTACTAACAATTCAATCAGTATTTAGTGGAATGGAGTTATTCACCCCTCCATAGATCATTTTCATGAAAAGTACATGTTCAAAATATTTTTTAGGTACATTGGAAAAACCGAGATATACATTTCATTCGTCGACCATAACATGTATTTTTTTCTAAATTTTTTTTTACATTTTGAAACTTTCTTTTTTTCATGGAGTGATGTAGATAAATAGAGATGAGACACCTCTGCTGTTCAGGGTCATGTTGACCTGCTCACTCAAAATCAAGCCAAAGTGTGTGTGTGTGTGTGTGTGTGTGTGTGTGTGTGTGTGTGTGTGTGCGTGTGTGTGTGTGTGTGTGTGAAATGGGGTGAAACATGGTGGGAGGAGTAAGAAATACTTTGTCTCACATTTTCAAAGACAGAAATGGTCTAAACTTGACCTTTCACTTTCACTGCCGGGTCAAATTGACCCGAACATCATCTCTGTAATAATACACTTTTAACGTTGATTATACTAATTAAGGCAAGCGGAAGAAGTTTCACACAGAAAAAGTACTTCAAAATATTTTTTCTAGATTTTCAAACTTTCAAACTGGGTCAATTTGACCGGCAACATAACATGAGGGTTAAATAATATTACTGCTATATTAATGTACATGTTGCATTTTACTGATGCAGATATGTATGGATGTGCTAATTTTCACATACTGTTGGGTAGTTTAATCTACAGCAATGCATTACATTCTATAAGATCATGATATGTTTGTATAGCATCACTTTTGGAATAGTTTATTAAGCTAGAGAAGTAGGAGAATGTTCTCAATCCATAAAGGCAGACTTAATCATTCAGTTTATCAGAAAAAATCTGATTCATATTCACCAATTTAGGAGATACATGGTTTTTACTGGGCAGCAAAGGGGATACAAATGTGTAATGTGAAAAGTAACTAAAGCTGTCAGACAAATTTAGTGCAGTAAAAAGTACAATATTTGTGGTGGAGTAGAAGTATAAAGTTGTATAAAATGTGAAGATTCAAGTAAAATCTAAGTACCTTGAATTTGTATATAAGTACAGTACTTGAGTACATGTTCTTAGTTACATTCCACCACTACACGCACATAATCACAAACATTCAGAGTCATTGTTCTCTCTGTCGTAAACATGAAGACAATGAGTTTTCTGTCTTTCAGCTGCAGCCCATAAGTGGCCAACATAACACAGAAGACAATGGAAATATCATTGCATTGCTATGTCCAACTGAGGTTAGTAACTGTGACACAATCTCACACACACATGCAGTTATATCAGCATGTTAAAAAGCGCTATCAGATGTACTGTACTTGAAAATAGGTTTCACTTTCTCAACCTGCCTCTCTTTCATTTATTCCCTCCTCCTCTCTCCGGCTATCTGCCTCCCTCATAGGACCGACCCTTCCTGCGGACGGAGGGAAACTCTCCTTCATATCACCACAGTGATGTCTCTCCCCTCCTCCTCCCAGTGAGTATAGTTTGGTATTGAGCCCAAATGGAGGTGGTGGCAGCGTTGTACGCTTCCTGGTTAGTTCTGACTGTGGATTTGCTTCGTGTGTGCGGTCAGTTTACAGGCACAGTGATGCCCTGTGAAGACCTCAGTCCCTCACCCTCCACACCCACCTCAGGTATAGTAAGATGGTTTACACTTACATGTTAGGCATTTATCAGGCACCACAGTGACTCTCACTTTTCGTGGCTGATTTTATTCATAATGTGTATTCATGTGTCATTTTTCATGGATACGCTTTTCATGTAGCAAGACACGCATAATGAAGTTGATAAGATTTTGTGTTTCTTTTTTACTTAAAATATTTATGTACGTGACACATGAACAGATGAAAAAACAAAACAAAGGTGTCACATTGACATAAAAAACACACTTTATATATATTTTTTTCCTTTCATATGTCAATAATCTGTATATTTATCACTTCTATTATTTATTTTATTCATTCTAGTCTTTTGCCGATCTCTGTTTAACCTTTTAAGTCATTTTTATATTATGTGATATTGCTTCTGATAATCTACTATTTATTTTCAAATACTACTGTATCTTTGTCCTACGATACAGCATTTCTAACTAGTTTTACTGCTATATTATTATAATTATACATATTATATCAGTAGTATATTACATTACAGTCTCTCTGAAAGTCTTGTGTTGTCTAACTTGTTAAGTTTAGAACCTTTACTGTCCTGACTTGTCTCCTTTATTTATCCCAGTCCATGAACTCAGGCCTGCAGATATCAAAGTGGTGGCTGCTGTGGGAGACTCTCTGACAGTGAGTCATTTTGTCATTCTTTTAAGTGGATAGAAAGGTTATAGTAAAGTTCAAGCCTTATAATCTAAAGTATCAAGTAGAATTAAATATATAAAATAAAAACTGAGAATAGATCCTAGACGTAGGACCATAATCTTTAGCTGTAACATATTATTTATGCAGTTTAAAATGACAAGTAAAATACTGCATAGTAGTCGCTCAAACTAGTTTACTGTAAAATATGGAGAACTTCTGTCTTGTTTCATCATGTTACTGAAACACTGTCCTGGTCTATCCGTCAGGCAGGGAACGGTATCGCATCCAGCCCCAATAACGTCCTGGATGTCCTGAATCAGTACAGAGGTTTATCCTGGAGGTAACTCCCCATTTATCACAAAACATTGCAACATAATTCTTATGTTATAAGTTTTGCAGTGTTGGTATGAATGTGGTTCGATGACCATCCATTTCTTTAGTTGGAAAGTAATCTTAAGTCATGATTTCAACATTACAGTATATGATATGTTTTTTGCAGTATTGGTGGAGATGAAAACCTCACAACTGTAACCACGCTGCCCAGTGAGTCTTAATGGTTCTTAATGGTTCAATATAACATAAAGGCAGGCTTTGTTGTTGTGGGATTTTTATTGTTATTTACTTTGTCATAACAGACATCTTAAAACATTTTAACCACAACCTGACGGGCTATTCTGTTGGCATGGGCAAGCAGCACACTCCTCAGGCTTTCCTCAACCAGGCTGTAGCAGGAGCTAAGAGCAAGTGAGTCCTGTCAGAGGATCAAAGCTGTTCACAAAGTTATTTTTATAAAAAATTATAAGAAAGTAGAATTTAAATGAATATACAGTATATTTGTTAAAATAAATGTGATTTTAATTGTCAGATATAAATATTTGCCATTTCATTGTGATGTTTTGTTTTGTTTGTGTCTTAAGGGCCATACTACCACAGGTGCAAGCCCTGGTGGCAAAGATGAAGAATGACTCTGTAAGTTTACAAGTTGATATTTATTCTTTACCTATTTTAAATTTGCCGACTCCACCATAAAAAAAACATCCCTTTGCACAACACTACATACTACATCCCCTCACATTCTTGTTTCTTGTACAGAGAATCAATTTTGAATCCGATTGGAAGGTGATCACCGTTTTTATTGGTGGAAATGACGTCTGTGACCACTGCTACAACTCTGTAAGTACTAATGTGGAGCGATAATTCATCAGTTGTTTCATGGAGGGGCCAAAAGACACGATGTGAAAATGTTTTCCTTTTATTGACAGCTGCTTTACTCTGAAGATAATTTTATTCGTAATGTTCGAGACAGCCTGGATTATCTGCACAAAGAGGTAAAGATGAACAGACACGCAGCTACATTTTCAGATATATGTTGGTCCGGTTGATTGTTTATGAGCATTAACTGAGCTTGTCTCTGTCAGGTGCCCCGAGCTCTGGTGAATTTAATAGAGCCTCTCCATATAATCCCTCTGAGAGAAATGCACATTGACTCTTCACTTAAATGTCCAACTTGGCTGGTAAAGTGAGTATCACTTTTATCTGCCTTTTCAAATTCTCACTGATATTGATATCTAATAAATGATCATGAACAGTGGTATAAACGACTTGTTTGTCGCTCCTTTGCCAGTTTTCTGTGTCCTTGTGTTATCTTGCCAAAGCCCGACTCTAAAGCTCTGCAAATGGTGGAGGACATCAATAGAGGCTATCAGGTAGACTCCCCAAAAAACATACTGAGAATATTAAACAGTCCAGTTTACCTTTAGGCATTGAGAGCTTCTCTTTCTTTCTTTAAGCGTTTACTGCATGAGCTTGTGGAGTCAAACCGGTACGACACTCGCTCAGACTTCACTGTGGTCGTCCAGCCTTTCTTCAGAAACATCATCGTCCCCAAACTGCCGGTCAGTAACAAAGCTCTGTTTTTTATATGTGGACTGCACAGACTTAATGAGAGTCTAGTCCCATCACTTTACCCAATACATAACCACAGGTTAGCCCCAGAATCATGACAGTATGTATTCTATAGTATACAGTGTTTCACAGTATTGTTGCATATGTTATCACAAAGACTGGAAACTGGGGGAAACAGCTAGCATGGCTCGGAATTTAACTAGATAATAGAAGTTAAATTTGAGAACCTGGCTTTCAACAACAAAAAGTACAGTAAGATACAATTTGGGGGTCAGCTGTTATATCTACCACGAAAAACTGAATTTAAGGACACAAGCTTCAAAGTCATGAAGTCAACTACAGTTTTTTTAATTTTCCCCACTTTGAAATAATAGTCAGTAATCCTTAAAGTTCATACATATGGTGTAATTTTTCCACAGGATGGCCGTGCTGATCGCTCCTTCTTCAGCGCTGACTGCTTCCACCTCAGCCAGAAGGCCCAGACGCTGATGGCTCGCTCCCTCTGGAACAACATGGTGAGTATTTATATATATATATATATATATATATATATATATATATATATATATATATATATACAGGATAATCTCTGATTCCCTTCTTATACTAGAGTTTTAAGGAAACGCATTTTTGCTGAATGATACTCAGCGTTTACTCTAACTCATGTTTTCCCAGCTGGAACCTCTGGGCAATAAGACTACACTCCAGGATTTTTCTGCAGACATTGACCTGAAGTGTCCAACCAAGGTGGGAAATTTTGATTAAATAGAGAGTCAGTGCTTTATATGCTGGTGAATGTGTTTTTTGTAAACCCAGTGAGGAAAATGCTATAAATGCATCTCCAATGCTTTTGTTATTAAAAGTATATAATATTTCTGAATGTATAGTTCAGTTCTCTATATTTTGAGGCCATCGTGTAACGTAAGTCCTCTCATTTGTCTGCAGACTTCACCATACATTCGGACCTTTAACAACAGCAATTACATGTATGCTGGTCCTTCTCCAACACCAGGACCTATCACAGTAAGCATTTTCTCTCTCTCCGAGAGGCTGGGAAGTGACCTCTAATAAAAATAGAATATGATTGATTTACTAAAGGCCTGAATGAAGCTAACATTTCACAGAATCTCATATAGTCTTGAAGCAGTTAGTTGATTAATCAATAGAACATGAATCATCAGCTAATATCAATAAATCATTTTCAAGACTTTCATCAAGGAACAATCCCAAACATTCTCTGGTTCCAGCTACTTAAATGTATCATCTGTTTTATATGATTATAAATTGATCATCTTTGAGTTTGTGATTTTTGGATGCACAAATAAAGCAGTGTAAAACTTGGCCTCTGGCTCTGGGGACTTCCTTTGGGCATTCTTCTCTATTTTAGAACTGGGGGAGAGATTTCTCCTGTGTGGACATTGCTCCATCTGACACTGTGCCAACTTCAGGTGAGACAGACTCTACATTATCATTAGACAGTCGATATGAGATTCAATGTCCTCTTTCATCTGAAAGCTGAAACAAAGATAGCTAAGCACACTAGTGACACTAAGAATGAAAGGGCTGATATCAACTGCACCAACTGTCACCTGGATTGTGTCAATGGCCCAATCCCAATGTCCCCCCTAAGGCCTTAAACCCTGAACCCTCAGGGACTTACTGAGGTCACGAGGTAAATGATTGAGTGTGAGAGGCTGTGAGGGATTGAAATGGTGTAAATGCGAATGGGACATCACTTTGCTGCAACATATCACGTCAACATGAAAACGTCAAAAAATATTATGCTCAATTGTGGTTTATTTATTTTATGCTTTTTACTCCCTGATTTGAACGTCTCACAAGATGAGAGGTAATTTTAAATAATCTATTTACTAGTTTTTGTCAAAATAGCTTCATTAACAAAATTAAATGTTTGATGAATAAGTCTGTGTAATATAATCTCTGCTTCCTTTCCTCTGATTTCATGTGTTTTTATGTTCCATGTTTAATCCGTAATGTTTCTGAGTGAATGTAATTTGCATGTGCCCGTCCTCTTTGTTTACCTTTTTTTACATCTCCATGCTTCCACTGGTAACCCGTGTTTAATGTCACATTGCTATGAATTGTGGGTAATTCCCTTAGCCTAAATGAAAGGGTTCATAAAAGGCTCAAAATGTCTGCGAGAGAGCCCTCAAACACTCGACGATTTGACAGTGGGACAGCCCTAAACCCTCACGGACATTGCAGGAGTGCGCTTCAAAGTTTGTGAGTCCGTTAGTGTGGAGATCGGGATTGGGCCAATGTCTCATCAAGATAATTTAACAGATGCTCTACTAATTAACAATTTATACATGTAATGATTTTAATCAGAGGGGGGAATGGCTGCAGAAAAGAGGAGATACTCATAATAGGAGATGGTTAAATGCTAAATATTACATTGTATAGGGATGATCTTTGTGGTTTATCTTGATGTCAGTGGGTTTAAACTCTTTTTTGTCTTTAACTCTAGTTCACAAGCTGAGACCAGCAGACATCAAGGTGGTGGCAGCACTGGGCGATTCTTCCACGGTTAGTGTCATAACACAATATCCAATTTATTACCACAGTAGACTTAATGTAAACATGTTTGAAAATCACAAATCTTTTACCTAACTTAATCAGCACAGTCCATGAATACTTGACGGATTTGAGATTTTTTGCATAATATAATATATGTGTCTGTGTGTGTGTTTAACACCAACCTGTTGTTATCAGCTATTTAGTGTCATTGAACTATGAACTCTCTAATCAATTTGTTATCAGCCACATAGCTCGCACCGGTGATGATCATCCCTTTTATGTGTCTATGGTGTAAGACTTATCTTTGTCAGTGTCCCACTGTCATCTGCAGCATATTATTTCTATTTTATTTTCCGATTATTTGGCTCTCTGTTCACAGGCAGGCACAGGCGCTAAGGCAAAGAACCTGTTTAACCTCAATAGAGACTACAGAGGAGTATCATGGAGGTTCGATATGCATGTTGCATTGATGAAGTGTACATTAACCATCATATTTTACAAACCATGCTGATGTTTGTTGGGTTTTCTTGCAGCATTGGAGGGGATAATACTCTGGAGACGGTCTCAACACTCCCAAGTGAGTTTATGTCACTTGTTTGGGGAAAAGATTCTGTTTCTGTGAGTCACTATATGTGACAGGAATAACAAGATCTCCGGCATTATGTTGCAGAGGAGCATTCTTTGTAGCATTGGAAATGTATCAGACATTTTTAACCTGTTGGCAGTTGCTAAACAATTTTCTTTTCGGTCCAGATCTGTCCTACAAGTCATACAAAGACAGTCTTCTGTTTTTACATGAGGCCCAATGTCTGCTGTTTCTTAGGCATGGATACCTAAATGGGAGCCACTATAACCACAGGCTTCACTTGTAGTCTGGGTACCAGTTGAATAGATGGAGAAAAAACCTTTACTCAGTTGTGAGAGCGACAGGAACCAGCTGTGCACTAACTCTCAGCTGGTACTCAATCATTTTTCCTCTTTATCTTCTCAGACATCTTGAAGAAGTTCAACCCTTCCTTAAAGGGCTTCTCCAAAGGCCAGGGCTCTAGACAGAAGGCCTTTAACGTTGCTGTACCTGGAGCTAAGACCTCGTATGTGCATATTCTTTTATTTCCTCCACCTGGGTTAAACACTTTTGAACAACCCATTGGCACCTCCCAACATCTATTTACTTTTACTTTTTGTTGTGTTACAGAGAGATCCCAGTACAAGTCCAAGCTCTCATTAAGGCCATGAGAGAACATAAGGTAAGACTTTCCCAAAGATAAATAATTACATCAGATTGCTTCAATAGTTTCTGCCTCTTCTCATGTTCTGTACACATGATACACAGGACGTGAATTTTGAAAAGGACTGGAAACTTGTGACAATATTTATTGGAGGAAACGATCTTTGCAATTACTGCTTAGACCAAGTAAGTGTTCTTTAAAATGTTTGAATTGTACATAAATAACCACACTCTCCTGTACGTTTCTGAGCTGCAGTACAAAAACAAATAATTCCCATTTCTTTACAGAATAATCTGTCGCCCACGAACTACAGCCACAATATTATGCTCAGTTTGGACATGCTTTACCAAGAGGTGAGATATTAAACACTATACGTTATTGTCATCTCTTGTCCTCATGAGTACAAGTGTGTCATGTTTTCTTCTTCTCTCTCTCACTGTATCTTTAGGTACCGAGGCTGTTGGTTAATCTTGTGGCAATCTTGCAGATAGATCCATTGAAATCAGTTCAGAGGAACACACTAGGCTGTTCCCTCTTGCAGAGGTTTGTTTAGCCTGTTTTCTCTCTGTTTCAGTTAGACATCTAGACATCTTGGTCTTACTGGAGACCAAAACAGAGCTAAAGTGAATGTTCGATTTACATTTAAATTATACTGTTGCTTTATGTCTGCTGGATGTGAGATGTTTGCAATATCAATTTCTGGTGTCATGCTGTGTTTAAAGCATGTTTCTGCTGCCTCCAAGTGGTAACAAAAATAAATCCTATTTAACCTTCCAATAGATTGGTCCTTCCAGTGGTGTAGTTTCCCCTAAATGATTTAAATCTAGTCAAAATCATCTCTGCTTTTCCAAATTGTAAAAGCAGAAGTTTGTTATGTGGATTAGATTATTCAGCGATGTTTTTGTTGATCTTTTGATATGTTCTCATTTTGATTTTTTTTGTCATTTCGACTTGCGGACATAAAGCAAATATTACGAGGAACATTTGAGGTGTTGCAAATACCTCTGGTTCAGTTGTTTTGCTGCATATACAGTAATTACTGTACTGTTAACCTAGAACCATCTATTTCCAATTGATCAGTCAAGAATTATGATTTGGATTTCAAGAATCTTGGCATACAAAGGTCTTTATTGTGGTTCTTTGTTTTGGGATCAGCTCCTTCCTCATCTCAGCAAAAACATAATGAACAGGAATCTCTTCTTCACAGGACCAGCTGTCCCTGCGTTATCAACCCCGTTGAAAACTCCCCGGAGTTTCAAGAGATGAAACGAATCAATCGCGAGTATCAGGTAAAAACAGAGATCTCTTTTAATCATTTGAATTTCTTTTCAAAATTAGGTTCTCTCAGTCAATCCTCCAATTCTCTTTTTTCCTCAAGGCTGAGATCCAACATCTTATTTCTGGAAATCGCTATGATGGAAAAGAAGATTTTGCTGTTGTCCTTCAACCCTTTTTACACAATTCCTTCATTCCTCGTATTGGAGTGAGTTACAGAGACATACAAATGTATCCAAACAAGCATCCAGATATAAATAATGAAATATACCCATGTTAATAATCAACTCCATTCCACAGGAGGGTGAGGTTGACACAAGTTTCTTCTCTGTGGACTGTTTCCACATAAGTGAGCGAGCTCATGCTGAGATGGCCGTTGCCTTGTGGAATAACATGGTGAGCATGGAGCAGTAATGTACCAAACTGCATTAGAACGACCAGTGTTTCCAAGTGTTTTTTGGTGGTTTTACAGAATGTTTCTTTCTGTCTTCAGTTGGAGCCCATAGACAGGAAGCAGACCTACAACAACTTCACATATGACCGCTCCAAGATTCATTGTCCCTCTGAGGTATGTGTGGAGCCCACAACTCAAATTATTATTCTATCACCAAACTAGATCTATTTGTTTATTGATTAGAGTTTTAAGTATCGTTTAGTCTCAGTTTTATAGAAAAAAAACCTGTTGAATATAAAATAAATAAGACAATACAGACAAAACTATAACATAACAGTTAACTTGTAGAATAAACCAATACATTTTTAAAACACAGCTCAAATATATAATAAGTAACAATTAGGGAAATAAGTTATTTTAACTTTTAGTGTATCCCGTACCATGCCTCACTTTTATGGACAACACTTTATATTATATGCTGTTATAGTTTGTTGCATTTTGTTTGTTTTGTGTTTCTGTGTGTCCATGTTTTACATTGGATTGAATCTATATGCTTCTGTTACCAAACTGAAAAATAATGATTACTTTCATTCTGCATATTTTTGTTTTTAGGTAATTTTTTCATTTTAACAGTTCCTAAAGTTTTGACCAAGTAATGTGAAATTATAAAATTAAACATTCAACTGGGAAAATGGCTTGAATGAAAAAGACTTTGCAAAAATATCCTTTTGAAATATAAACTACTGAATTGACATAAAAGCAATTACACTTTGAGCTTGATTTTAAATATGTATTTTATTATCCCACAATTTTTTATAAAAATTATAAATTTATAATTTGTCTGTATTTATTTGTTTGATAATTATTTCATCATGTCTCAGGTTTTTAATATAGAATACTATTACTACTATTACTATTACTACTTTATATTACTTGACTCATCAAGCCAGAATCTTTTAACTGAAATGTGGATCTTTATGATGTTGACTTTTCAATATATTTTGACACAATTTCTCAAAGATTCTTCCATACGTATATATATATATATATATTAAAGTTCTTACTTATATGATATATCTGCACTGAGCTATGGTATGTTTCCTATAGGCCAATCCCTTCATCTTCACTAAGATCAACAGCCTACCAAGTCCACCAGTAACCACCACCACCACAACAGCTTCCACAGTCACCACTACTACCACCAGCTCCAGTCATGTACCAAAGTGTCCTTCCTCTATGCCCGTGTGGGTGCCAGTGATTGTGGGAATTGTCAGTTTACTGGCTGGCATATGTGTTGCTTGGTTGATTGTCACCAACTGTCAGCATCGTAAAAGTAAAGTGGAGAAAGCAGTAGAAATGAAAGGAACTGTTTTTTGATACAGTTGTTGTTATCAAGCTGCATTTAAGCCTTAAAGCTGCATCAAGCACCTTTTTACCACTAGAAGGCAGAGAGTAGACTCCTACACTCTTACCTTGAATAGTTCTTGACTATTAACATCGGAGAAACCCACGCTGCCACAGGGAGAACATGCAAACTCCACTCAGAAGGGCCGTCCATCTAACCCTTGCCCATCCTGCTAGTCGACAGTGCTAGCCACCAAACCACCGTTCAGCAGAAATTGTGACATATCCCATATGTAATAGACTGACCTTGTTGAATCCAGATGTTTTGTACATTTATGTTCTCATTTGTATTTATTGACAGAATAAAATCTCTCCAATTTTGGAGACATGGTTGATTGACTTTTTAAACAATAGCATTTTACCTACTAATGTTTTGTAATCGCTGTAGTCTCTTGATTGATTTTTTTTTAGGCATGCTAGCTGCATGGCTTAAGGGATTTGGTCCAGACTAAAATGACACTTGTATCCCAATTGTTTTGGTGATACCATATTTGTTGTTTTTAAGTTTGAATCATACATGCCAGTTCTGCCTCTTTTCTGGGCTTGTGTTCCTGACCCGTCGACTGCAGCCATCCTGTGCCGTCTAATGTGCTCTGCAGGCTCAACCAGCGGTGCGGAAGATTTGTTGTTGTTGTTGTTGTTGAGAGAGAGAGAGAGAGAGAGAGAGAGAGAGAGAGAGAGAGAGAGAGAGAGAGACGAGGAACTACGGTCCAAGCTGAACCTCCACCAAGAAGACTGCCATGTCCAAAGATTACCAGAGAAAGCCGAAGCAACTGCCCCAGAGGGAGAGATGTTAAAATGCGATTCAAACGACCTGCTATCATCCTCCAAGATGCAGAGATGCCCGAAGAGAAACTGCGGCCACTTCATACAGCTTAACCTCTGCCCATCAGAGCTGGTGAAAACATGATATTTCCAGATGTGAATGAGTTTGATGTTTCTAGGCTAAATACATTTGAAGTAAGTTAATAAAATAATAAGTTAACCTCAGATAGATAAATAGGTAATATAACTAAAAACTAATAATATAACTATGAAATTGCTTTACATTCTTCCCTGGTGCTTCTCAAACTCTCAAGTGCTGAACGGTGCATACATCTTTTGAACTAAATTATTATATAAACATCAAACAACAAATTTAATTAATAAACTTTAATCAATGATATCAGTCACTGTTGGGTCACATGGAATCCTTTTCATTTATTTGTGGTTCGTTATTCATTCTTTATCATACTTGAAAAACTATTGGAAAGATAAGTCTTCTATATATTACTATGTTTTTGTTTGTTGTGCATATCCTTTCTCATGATTGTTGAGTATACTATGTGGAAAACTGACTAGGATTCAATATTGAAACACAAAGTGGAGTCTTTTTAAAAGCCACTTTAGTGTCATTTTATTTGTTTGTTTGTTTTCACTTTTTTCTGTATATTAAACAAACTCAAATACCTCGAGATTGTACTTCAGTGCAGTACTAGAGTAAGTGTACTTATACCACCACTGCTTGAAACGTGTGCGTCTGTGTGCATGCCTGGGTAGGCTAAAGCTCTCTTGAGCCTACAAGTCAGTATTCAGGGCTATTTTGCCCGCTGTCCTACCTCTGTGAGTATCAGAAACATGGCGGAAAGCGAATTGAACGTTGACAGCCTCATATCTCGACTACTGGAAGGTACTGTAGCTACGTGATAACATTTCTTCCTGTATTTTTCATCGAGAAAATGACTGAATTGTACGTTGTTGTTTGTAACTAGTAACTTCACAACATGTTATAAACACGTTAGCATCTCGCGTTCTCTGCTATCGTTCAGCAGCTAACGTTAACCTTTGCGTTAAAAGCTCTCTGCTGCTGGAGAAACGTAAACTTTAGTAAACGTTAGCATGGTGTCACAGTCCCCTGTAGCTATCTATTCGCTAATGTTGGACTGTTAATCAACGTTAGTCGTGGCACAGTGCTTAAAAAAGGGAGAGTGGCGTAACAAATAGCCAGCTAGAGAGCTAACTAGCTATCTATGCTAGTGATACAAATTAACGGTGTAAAGGCTAAACTAGCTAGCTGACTAACGTTAGCAGAGTTATGGCAGGTGACTGTTTTATCGCCACGGACGGGATGTAATGGGAAGAGAGAGAGAACCGTGGGATTCTGTGATTGCTAAGCTACATTACTAACTGTTCTGCTTGGCTAGGCATGTTGCTAGCACTTCGGCTACCACCCAGGACACGCCCCCTTACGAAGGAAACCTAAACCTGCATAACTAGCTACTGTTTTACATTCATCAACTATATCCGGCGAGTTTCGTCAGTTTCTAAAGTTTGTTCCCAAACCACATATTAAAACGACGAAACATGTATTTTCTTTTTGTGGGAGGCAAATGAAACAAAGTCGCATTCTGCATGGTTGGTCTGGAAATAAAGGATAAATAAAAATTTGCTGATGAACACTATTATGATCACAGCAAATGTATAATTTAATCAAACCAAATTTATGAAAACTCCACTCTAGACTTTTCTTCCTGCTTGGACCACACTGCCCTCATTCACTCACTTCATATCTATACTTGCCAGTTCATAACAACTTGTCTTGACTGGAATATGGTATCACTCTCAAAGTACTAATGGACTATCAGTAGATAACAACTAAATCTAAGTCTTTGTTCGTTTAAAAAAATGCTGGTAATTTATGAGATTTTATAGCTATAAAGCGGTCTTGAATTTCATTTGAATGCACTGATATTTTTTGTGGTCAGAATAATGATTTAGCCTACAATTTGAAAATGTAGTTACCTGTCCCCTTGCCATGATGTTGAATATGATGCATATTAGTTCTGCTCACTGTGGCAGGTTACTTAATGCTTAATGTCTAGTGTCAAATACTTACTCACTCCTGTTAGAGAATCAGCCGATGTTGAACTCTTTTGTCTTGCAGTGCGAGGATGCCGTCCAGGGAAGGTGGTACAGATGACAGAGGCTGAGGTGAGGGGGCTCTGCATCAAGTCCAGAGAGATTTTCCTCAGTCAGCCGATCCTGCTAGAACTGGAGGCTCCACTCAAAATCTGCGGTGAGAATGGCACCTATCACCTTTTTAAAAATGTACCTATATTCCAGTGCAGGGTGATGAGAAAACACATGTTGATAGTTAGAGGCAACCTTGGCAACTCTACATTATTCCTTAAGCCCTGCGATTTTCACCAGGATAAGACACACACAGTTATTCAAAAACTTTATCTATACTGTTCATTAATTTCACATAATTGATTGAGATTGTAATGTTACATGGGATATTGATGAACATATCCTTCCAGGTGATATCCATGGACAGTACACAGACTTGCTGAGGCTATTTGAGTATGGAGGTTTCCCACCTGAGGCCAACTATCTGTTCTTGGGGGACTACGTGGACAGGGGGAAGCAGTCACTGGAGACCATCTGCCTGCTGCTCGCCTACAAGATCAAATACCCAGAAAACTTTTTCTTGCTCAGGGGGAACCACGAGTGTGCCTCCATCAATCGCATCTACGGCTTCTATGATGAGTGTAAGTTGGAAAACGCACCCGTTTGTTATGCTACATGTGCATACTGTTCACAGTCCTAATTGTGAGTTGGACTACTGCAAAAACTCAGAAGAAGAAATATCAAATCTGAATGTAGAAAATACAGTATTATTAGTTAAGTCTTTTTTTTTTTCTGCCACTTTTCTTAATTTTTTCCTCAGGCAAGCGCAGGTTCAACATAAAGCTCTGGAAGACCTTCACAGACTGTTTTAATTGTCTGCCCATTGCTGCGATTATTGATGAGAAGATTTTCTGCTGCCATGGAGGTTTGTGAAGCGCGTGTGTTATGTAGCAGCCACTGAATAATGTGGATAATCCACTTCTCCCTGAAATCAAAGTGTACCTGTACATGGGTTTAAAATATAGGCTTGTATCGTTATTTAATCTAGAATATATGTAATGTAACCACAGGTTTTAATTGTGATGAATCATTCATTGTGTGCTATTGAGAATGTAACTTTTTTTTTTTAAATCCCATTTTTGTCTCATCAGTACAATACCCGTAAGTCATCATTTCCATTTTGCTTAACGATGAAAAAAAGGGATCTTTTCACTGATTCACAGGATTGTCTGTAGTGTGTGTTGTTTGTATTACAATTCTCTGTTGTCCTCAGGGCTCTCACCTGATCTACAGTCCATGGAACAAATTCGGCGCATTATGAGACCCACCGATGTCCCAGACACAGGTCGGTTGTGTTTGTGTTGCTGAACTATAAGAGGACAATATCTTGTTGAGCTGATTGCAACTTTCACAAGCCGCAGATGTTTCTATATATGTCTGCACTGCTCTATTATGATAGATTGCTGATTGTGTTCATTAACTGCTTTATAATTTGTGTTAAAAATGTAATGCTGATGTGCCACTTTAGATTCATTAATTATGCTATTAGTTTTGGCTAAAATAACCTTTTTCTAGACCTTAACTATTACAGCTGGTAATTCAGATTTTGTCTATATATATCTATATCTATATAGTCATAAAAAGGCTCAGTATAGTATGTCATGAAATAATAAATCAATGCATAGTATGTCATACAAAATATTAATACAGTTTAATATTAAATTATTATAGTATAGTATGCCATAAGCAAGTTTTAACCACAGGTGCGTTCCTCATGCACATTTGTTTTTTACTGAGACAAAATAACTTTGTTTCTCATCATAATTTCAATGTGCACGCAGCAGAAATTGAATAAACGTTAGCCTACCATAGTTTTACAATGTTTTTCCATATGTTGTCGTGTATGAAAAGGCCCAAAATGAACACTAAAAGTGGACGAATAGATAATTATAGGTAAATTGGAAGAAGTTGATCACTATAAGCAGTTAGCAATGTATGAAACATACATTTTATATTATGTCATATAAAAGTCTCGGTATAGTATGTTATAAAAAAGTATTCCTATAATTTGATAATCTAAACATTAATTAGTATCGTGTGTCATAAAGAAAATGATGTATTGATATATTTAATAAAATGAAAATGTAATATGTGATTGACTGATAACTCACAGTGATTGACTGCTTGACTTTGCTGTTGTTTGTGTCAGGGTTGCTGTGTGACCTGCTGTGGTCGGATCCAGACAAAGACGTCCAGGGCTGGGGGGAGAACGATCGGGGAGTTTCCTTCACGTTCGGCGCCGATGTGGTCAGCAAGTTTCTCAACCGTCACGACCTGGACCTCATCTGCCGAGCACATCAAGTAACTCTTGTGCTTCTTTCTTATTAAGATTAAGAAAATTTTGCAGATTTTCAACTGGTTGTGTATTGTTGCCGTGTGGTTGGTATGCAAAAATGAACAATGGACCCTCAGCTCTTGTTTTAGCAGTGTTGGAATGTAACGAAGTACATTTAGGCTACTTAAATACTGTACTTCTCGTCCACTACACCTCAGGGGAAAATATTGTCCTTTTTTACTCTACATTTATCTAGAGTTTGGTGGGCAACCATGGTTTAGGTAATCAATGGGAAACATTGTTACAGTTTTCTGATAAAATACACTGTGTAAAAAATGAATGAATATTTATGATACAATAACCAGATGGTCACATACAGAAGGTATTTCATCTCTTATGTTGCCATGAAGCAGACTAGCTGATGTATTGCATGTAGTTCAACCCTAATTGTAGGGCAATTTTGCTTAAGAAGTTTGCTTAAAACATATCTTCAGTGATAGATAATTGTCAGCTATAATTCTGCTACCTTACAGGTTGTTGAAGACGGTTATGAGTTCTTTGCCAAGCGACAGCTGGTAACGCTGTTCTCTGCCCCCAACTACTGCGGGGAGTTTGACAACGCAGGTGGGATGATGAGTGTGGACGAGTCCCTTATGTGCTCCTTTCAGGTAGAGAACCCTTCGTTTGTTATACCGTAACATAAACGCTGATTTGTGGACTTTAAAATGTATTCATCAGGACCATCGTCCTTTCTTTCAGATCCTGAAGCCGTCAGAAAAAAAAGCGAAATACCAGTATGGAGGGGTTAATACAGGACGCCCTGTCACCCCGCCTCGCACCGCTCAGGCACCAAAAAAGAGGTGAGCGGCTGGCCCTGACTCTCCTGCTTCTTCCCCGGTCGATCACTGGCCAACGTCCCTGCAGGCTGCCTCAAACACTCCAGCCTTCTATCAGCTTGTTCATGTGTTAAAGAAAAAAAAAAAAAAAAAAGCTCCAGGAGTGTCTTTTGCTTGTTCTGTGGGTATTTTTATGAACATGTGTTTTTCAATTTCTTATTTGATGCCATGGTCTGCATTAACTCAGCCCTGCTACTCACTCCATTCAGCAATATTTAAACCAAACTCTTGTGGAATGGGCAAGATGTTAAGAATAGATGCTTCTCTTCCTTCACATTAACAATTTCCATAGTGATTTTGTGAATGCATGCACGCTTGTGAGGTTGAGATGGGTTCTTTGCTCTAGCCAATGTAAAACCATAAATTCTCACTGACAACAGGGCTAATTGTTTCTCGCCCTACTGCCATCGCCCACTTCTATGCTGGATGAAGTGCTACACTGCTTAATGGAATAGATTTATATTTTGGGAAATATGCTTTCTTATAAAAAGTTAGATAAGGAAGTTTATACCACTCTCCTTTCTGTCAAATATGAAACTGACATCAGCTGCTGGCTAACTTAGCTTAGCACAAAGACTGGAAACAGGAGAAAACGTTATTCTGGCTCCGTTAACTGAAACAACCTCCACCTTCCAGCAGCACGGTGTTTGTTTCATCCACCTTTTTGGTACGGAGTAAACAAACTTGAAGAACAAAGATGAAGCATTGATCTTCTCATCTACATTAACTTTCGGCAAGAACACAATTGAACATAATTTCCCAAATGTAAATTTTTCCTGAAGAATTGCAAGTTGGAGATTGCTGTGACTTTGACTTATGAATGTTTTTTTCTTCAAAGAGATACCAATAATATCCAAACATTTTGATGATATAAAATACATTATTGTGAAAATCTAGACAAATGAAAACCACAGCAGAAACTGAGGTAGAGTACAGGATTTTGAATCAGTGTCAGTACATTCATCTTAACAGCAGTAGATGTTGACCTCTCGATCACTGAACATTGTTGCACTTCTAGTTAGGCCTGTCACGATAACTTAAGTTGGACGTTATATTTCCCCAGAAATAATTGAGTTTGCCTATTATATCAATATTATTGTATTTTTATTACAAGATACTTTGTTGCCATTCATATAATGATAATTTAACAGCGTAATAATGCAAGTACACCCTTTCTAAGAGCAGTGATTCACACAATGTACAAGTGTTGTAATGGAAAGCCCTGCTGTTTATTCTGGCATGTTTGCTAAAATGCTGATCACATTCTTCTGTAAACAAACATGCATGTAACATAAATATTGAGGTCAGCAGAAATGATTGAGGTCATGTCAATTAATCATACGATATGTTGACGCCGTAAAGATTATTGAGGTTCTGTCCATCTGTTGTATACGTTGTTAACGGAATTATCGTGACAGGCCTACTTCATTGCATGACATTGTAAAGAGGTCAAACTCATCAAGGCAAGACGATGGTTTTTTGATTATTGTTGGCTAGTTATATTGGTTATATATTTCCAACTCCTTAACTGAACCAACGTATTTTTTATTTATTTAAATCTTGCCTTTGCTTTGTAAATTTATTGGTCTTCAAGTTAAACAGTATGTTAAGACGTTTTGAGATTTGTACGAGTTTGTTTGAAACGAGTGAAATAAAAGGTGTTGAGCCTGCTCTCTGTTTCTCTTTGAGTTCTGAGTAACACAAACAATGGTAGTTAACGATGTCCAATGAAGGCAGATGTATATCACAAAAATACCACAGTTTAGTATGTCGTAAAAAATGTCTTATTTGACGAAAGAAGTCAGTGTATTATTTTAAAAAGTCAAAATAGACGAATAACAAGTCATAGTATAATGTTAGAAATAAAGTCATAGTATAGTATGTCAAAAAAATGGCATAAAAAGTCAGTGTAGAATGGAATAGTCCTTGTATAACATGCCTAACAAAACATTTTAAAAGTAACAGAATTGTGTCAAAGAAATTGTCATAGAAAAGTCTGCCAAAAATCTTTAGCAAAAGGTCAGTACATTATGTCAAAAAAGTAGTTGAATAGTGGTCGAAATGTCATTAAGTCTGTTTGTCAAAAAATGTCACAGTATAGTATGTCGAAAAAAGTCGAAAACGGTCATAGTATAGCATGTCAAAAAAAGTCAAAAACATTCATAGTATAGCATGTCGAGAAAGTCAAAAACGGTCATAGTATAGCATGTCGAAAAAAGTCGAAAACGGTCATAGTATAGCGTGTCAAAAAAAGTCAAAAGCAGTCATAGTATAGCATGTCGAGAAAGTCATAAACGGTCATAGTATAGCATGTCGAAAAAAGTCAAAAACAGTCATAGTATAGCATGTCGAAAAAAGTCAAAAACAGTCATAGTATAGCATGTCGAAAAAAGTCATAGTATAGCATGTCGAAAAAGTCGAAAACAGTCATAGTATAGCATGTCGAAAAAAGTCATAGTATAGCATGTCGAAAAAGGTCAAAAACGGTCATAGTATAGCATGTCGAAAAAGGTCAAAAACGGTCATAGTATAGCATGTCGAAAAAGTCGAAAACTGTCATAGTATAGCATGTCGAAAACAGTCATAGTATAGCATGTCGAGAAAGTCAAAAACGGTCATAGTATAGCATGTCGAAAAAAGTCAAACGGTCATAGTATAGCATGTCGAAAAAGTCAAAAACAGTCATAGTATAGCATGTCGAAAAAGTCGAAAACAGTCATAGTATAGCATGTCGAAAACGGTCATAGTATAGCATGTCGAAAAAAGTCAAAAACAATCATAGTATAGCATGTCGAAAAAAGTCATAAATGGTCATAGTATAGCATGTCGAAAAAAAGTCATAAACGGTCATAGTATAGCATGTCGAAAAAGTCAAAAACAGTCATAGTATAGCATGTCGAAAACAGTCATAGTATAGCATGTTGAAAAAAGTCAAAAACGGTCATAGTATAGCATGTCGAAAAAAGTCGAAAACGGTCATAGTATAGCATGTCAAAAAAATATAAATAAAATGTAATTGTATAGTGTGTATAGTATAATATCCATTAATAAAGTAGGTCATAAAAAATGTCATATAAAAAGTCACAGTATGTATGACAAAAGAACCATCATGTCAGAGTGTCCTTCACCTTTGGGACCAGTGTGGTCAGCAAGTTTCTCAAACTTTGGTGATTTTCAACTGATTTGTATCGACTTTGTATTGTTGCAATGTCATAAGCAGGGAGCTCTGGGCGGCAACAAGTTTCCCTTTAAGGACGACATTGAAAGTATTACCATGGAGCCTTTCAATGTATTTATTAAGGCAAATTAATTGGAACAATTACATTTTACAAATTCACATGACTGTGCAAAAATAAATTGTTAATCAGGTCAGTTTAACATTCATAGAAGTCCCACTGATTACATGTGAAGAAAAGACTCACTTATTTACAGCATCATCTGTTAAAATCAAGGCAGGTTTCTGTTAAAATACACAATTTGTTAAGATGAATGAATATTTATCTTCAAGATTCAAGATGTGAATGTGTTTTGACTAAACCAGTAAAATAAATACTTGGCAATTCAAGGCATTTCATCATCAATATCGCCATGAAGCAGACCTGCTGATGAATTGCATGTAGTCCAACCCTATTTGACTTGATGACATATAGACATATAGAGGAAGGTTCTTGCATGCGTGGATAGATTATTAGTGTTAAATCTCTGAATGATTGTGTGCATTGTGAATATCGTCTTGTTATTAGTGCGATTTCTGATGAAGACAGACATCATTCTGACTTGAGGGCCTGCAGCACTGACTGTGGTACTCTGCTAACATAGTACTCGTGGTTTCGTAGTGTTGCAAGAACGCCGGCCGAATTCATGTGCTTGACGTTAGCATCGTAGCAGTATGCATTGCCATGCATGTCAGTCAGTTTACCTGCACAAGGAAAAGGAACAGAAAAGGGAAAATAAACATTTTAAGCAGTAATTCAAAGGACTAGTAAACTATGCATTTTGTAAAATGTAATGCTTGAATTGTACCCTAAAAAGGTGCAGGTCTACAAACTACTTTGGTTTAAAAACATCCTCTGCTGCTACAGAATTGATGGTTTTTACCTCCAACAGCATGCAGAATGGCTTCAGGAGCACAGGTGTCCCACTTCTTGCACCCTGGGCTGGCGAAGACATAAGCAGAAGCCTTTCCTTCAACAAGCTGGATTATCTGCAGAGAGATTATTTGATGAACAGACACTCTTTAATTAAACATCACCAGGCTCTTTTACATATGTACTAGTGTAATAGCTATAAAACATCTTAATTCTGGTCATGAGTCGCCAGGCTACCAGCCAACTTTGGTTAACTGTTTGGGAGTTAATGACAAAACTAAGGCCTCTAGCTACAGTAAGCATTTAACATTTGCAGCATAGTTCTTGGTCAGCGAGAAGAACAGATGTTCTATCAATGGATAAGTCATGTCAAAAAGACCAAGTTGGATGGTTTACATGCTTTGTGTTAGTCTAACTTTTGACAGCATATTTATCAATGTTGCTGTCACCGAGGGAATAACAATGATGCGCAGGAAGAGCTGTTCTTTTCAAATGCCTAAAGGTGTAATTTCACACCATCATCAGACCGATTTTGAAGCAGAAAGATGCTATGGTTACTAAAAGTAGCATTAGCTCGAAACGTCACTTTGTGGCTTTGCTAGTAAATTGCACTTAAAGGAAGCTACAGCGTGCAGACCTTTATATTTTCATTGCCATCTAGTTTTGTTCAAGCGCCTGCCTATAATGATTTTTGGATGCGCGCAACCACTCTACAATATTTGTGGTTACTAAAAAACACGAAGAGGCCGTAGAGGAGAAGATTGGCAGTATCTGGCAGCCATTTTATTTTGTGTACGTCTCATTTGGGAGCAATTATGCCGCATTGATTAATGTCACAAGATGATGCTTAGTTACAAAACACAGGACCCTGCTTTTTACTGATCTTAAAAAGACATTCCTTTGATGGCAGATGTTAGGAATAGTAAAGGCTTGAAATAATTTCAGATCAGGGTCAGAAACATGACTCGGCTTGCTCTACATCCACCTCACCTTGTTCCCAGCACCACCAACTCGTACAACCTCATGAGGCTCCATGGCGTCTACACAGTCCGTTACCAGCTTGTTGCTGTGCGAACGTGTGGTGGTGACAATGCGTCTGTCACCTGGAACTTCCCGCAGCTGAAATCCAAAGGCACCCAGTCCCGGCATTCCCCACATGGTTCTTCCTAAAGCTGCTCCTGTTCCAAGCTGACAAGGAAACTTTGAATTAACCAGAGTTACAACTGTTAGGACACGGCTACATGATCGTGTAGTTTGGTCTGTACCTCGTAGTTGTAGAAAGGCTGGTTGATGACACCTACAATTGCTCTGCCTCCATATGCAATACCAATAAGCACCGTTACATTATCCAGGAGCCCTTCAATCAATAGCAGGATGTTAGCGAAAAGCCACCAATTTGAATGCATTTTAAATCATAAGCATATATTTGGATGTGGTCAGTTACATATACGTGTCATTATGAAAATGACATGCTGGACAGAAAGGAAAGGATAGTAAGTTATAGTGAAGCGTCCTTGTTTGTGGAGAACAATGTATATTATACACTGCCAGGGATAATCTTCCTATCAGTTTTACATACAAAGAGCTGTGCTGTAAGGCTGAGAGGTGTCCGACCCTTTGGTTGGTATCTGGGCCTCAGTTTGGTGATGGAGACACCTTGACGCTGGGGTCAGCAGAGAGAGCGACAGAGTGAAAGAGAAACGGATAGACAGCAGAAGCAGGGATACACACAGCTGTGCTTTTAACATCTAACAAATTATTGCTACTGCTGACTTTAAAGATGCATGATTAATAGACAAGGTTGCACAGGGTGCAGTGTTTGGTTGATTAGAGTGGCAACACACTGCAAAGCCAGAATGTGGTACATGTAGCGACTGCATGTCTCCTCGAAAGCCTTTCATACAAGCTGGTGGAGCCATTTTAGTGCTAAAAGTATTTGTTCAGGGAGTTTCAGGACCAAGAACTGGATAACTCACAGAATGTCTCAGCCCACATTGCAGAATTTGCAATTCACACACACACACACACACACACACACACACACACACACACACACACACACACACACACACACTTTTTTAAGAAGTACATTTGGAGAGCCTACCTTCAGTATATTCCTTTGTGCCATCGAGAGGATCAACCCACACAACTAGCTGAGATTAAGAAAGAAACACTCAGACGTTCATGTGTGTAATAATACAACTGTACTGCACCTCTTTTTAACAATTATAATACAATCTTATTATATTTCTTAACCTAATAACTTAAATTGAAAATATTGCTTTTATTACTGATTTTATTGGCGGTTACCTCCTCCTCCTTGAGACTTCTATATTCTTCTGGACATGTCTTCTGAAGGATTTCCTCTGAGAAGCCACTCTCAATGAGATCTTCCTTTATCTCCTCAGCTGGGAGGTCCTAATAAACAAGTCATACACGATAATCCGTCTTTCACTCTCCTATAAAGCTTAAATACTGAAATACCCTTGCATGGTTGGGTGTCCATGGACCTCATATAACCAATACACTAAACAAATATGCCATCTCCTCACCTCCTCTCCAATGATGGTGATTTTAGGGAATCGTCTGGACAGTGATGCACAAATGCTCTGCTGTGCTAGTCTGTCTGCCAGTGTCTGCAGATCATTAGCTCCAGTCTGTGCACGGATACAGGAATCAAAAAAGGTTAAAACAATTCATCTCAGTCCGTGCCCTGCATTATAAATGGCCCAAGATTTCCACAGCAAATGTGCCCATCTGGGACACGCTATACTTGCTCTGATTTAAATACCAAAAATATATTGATCCCACCTTTTCCACAATGCCAAGTTCTCCACTCTGAAGGACCTTCCTCACAATGGCCCCGGCCTTTTCAGCCACAGTGTGGGCAGAGGCCACCAGCCGCATGAGCACAGCAGGACTTCCAGACATTGCTGATAGACAGAGCAGACACATTCAAAAATCATGACCAACAACTAAGGTACATCTACAGCCTTTATGATTAATAATACAATTGAGATAATGACCATACACTATGTCCAAAATGATCAGGACATCCTCAAAAAAATTGATCTTTAGCCCCTCTTGCAATTTGTCATAAAATGTAAAAATCTTCCTTTTAAGTGGATATCTTACAGAGAGTGGACAATTAACAGCAAGTGGAAACGACTGTATTCACCTGATCATGCAACAAAATTACATTTGTTATGAGCTAGTATGTTCTGCTTTTATATACAACGTCTGTGTTTGATTTACATCTATTTCAGAGCAATTAGGATAGCTAGCGCTAAGTAAAATTAGCTCGTAAACCAGTCAGAATAAGCAGCAAACTTCTGGCTATTTAGCTAACATGGTAGTGTTGATAGCTAGTAAAACCCGAGATATTAATCCAACAATATTAATACGTATCCAGTAGAAAAGTTAATACTTACTGATGATAACACCGAGAAGAAGCCACTAAACAGTTTACACTGATACAGGAAGAGCAATACCTTTGAACCAAAGAGCCAAAAATGATGTGCCAAGATAGTTACCAGAACACTCAAGAGACAAATGGTGAGCTATCGCAGCTAGCAAGCGTGTCATGACATTCAATAACAGACACGCTAACTAATTATACTTTTGACACGCACAATGAGAACGTCAACTTCAGTTGAACTATTATCTTTACAAAAAACTGAACGTATCTTTGTGGTCCTCGCTAAACAGAGAAACGATCAAATCTACCTTGGAATGGTCTAACGGCTTTTCAGCAAATGCGGAAGTAAATGGGAGTGAAGCCTCTAGCTTTGTCCGTAAGCGTTGTTCTCTCTGTACAAATAGTCATATGCTGCGTTCAAGAGAACTCGGAACTGACAAATCTCCGACATTTTGCCACACCTGCTAGAAATAAGTAGGCTATACCACTCTACTCCCTTTGTAAACTTGGGGCAGATCCATCTACCTCGACTTAACGAAGAAGCAGTTATCACACAGCAATAGAATCGCACATTGTTAATGGTAAATACAACCATTGTGGTAAACCATCAACTAAAAGGCAAGTAGAATTGCCTGCTTTTAGTAGAACCTGTTCTGCATGCAAATTGAATAAGGATCCCTCATTTTATTAGTAGCTGGTTATGGTAAACAATCTCTGAACGTTATCTTATCTGGACAAGTATTATTCAGAGTTCAATTTTGTGTACACTAGCCATGTTCATGACAAAAATCAGTTTGTCATGAACAGCCATGGTTTTGTTTACGTTTTGCGTCGTGCACCCTATATAGTCTATGAGTGTACCAGCCACTTGCTTGGAGGCAATACTATGGCTCAAGTGTCCACCGAGTTGTTTCATTCAAGGGAAAAAAGGAGGACAGAGATATTTGCTTTAGATTTTTATATAATATGATTTTCGTTTAAGTTCAACACTCATTACTTTTATCAATAAGTTAATTGCAAGTTTTGAATGAACATTTCTTCTATATTTTATCAAACATGACTTTTTTTAAATCGCAGATTTTTTTTAATAACACTGCCAGAACATAATGTGCGATCGGTGTGTTTGTAGTTTGTGATATCAAGGCCTAGAGACAACATGCAACACAGCTTGATACATCAGAATCTTTTATTAAACTTGAAAAGCCATTTATTTGAAGTAAGAAACATTTGCCATTTCCATATAAATTTCAAAACAGCTTGCCCTTTAGTCTTTTAGCACATATGACTTAGGATGAGCCACTGTTTCTCCCCTGTTCACTCACTACCATTCCCACATTACTATAAATTAAAACAATTAAAACTCGTGCACCGAGTGTTAGTTATTTGATGTGGCATAGCCCTCTTTCACGACCTGAAGTGAAGCCACTATTAAACTGCTTTAAGGAACAGAAACATGAATAAACCTGGAAGCAGACCAATCTTAATTTAATTAGTAATACAGAAATATTAATTAACATCATCACTGTAAGTCCCTGTATATTCCTGAAAAAAATAACATTTTTGTAAGGACAGAAAAAATGTGATTATTTAATATAAATGTGCAAATCACAAGTGCTTCATCTGTTAGCCAGAGGTCTGTAACCCATCTCTCCCTCCAGCTGCTCTGCAGTGAGAGCGCCCAGCAGAGGCTGACAGTCTGGATTGAAGACAGAATAAGCGCTCAGTTCTCCAGGCTCGCGGGCAGCTGGGCTACGGAGTCCCTGATAGAGCCAGTAGAAGAGGGAGATGACAAAGAAGGGCAGGCCAAACTCTAGTTCAACAAACAGGCCGAGCAGCACCAGCCACAGCAGCACTTTCAGCAAAGTGAGGTTTGAGAAGACAAATTGTTTTGAAGCCAGCCATCTTCCCACAGCGCTGTCCAGCAGCCAGTCACTACGGTCCTGTAGAGAAGATGCAACAGGAGGTTCAATATGTTCAAAGTATTTCAACATCACAGGTATACTGCTTACAGTGGGTCTGGGCACAAAACAGGCCTCTCTCTGCTGGAGATGTTAGGAGGCTGTAGGCATGTTCAGTTAAGACGGGAGGACTTGTTACTTGCTGGTCTACTGTAGTTTGATTCACTTCAAACTCGTTTAAACTACAACCATTGTAGACAGATACGAGGGAAGTTCAGGCCAGGAGTATCATGGAGTGGCGTGTTTGGATATTCATTATAATTACCATTATATATTATTTTACATAATGTATTTGTTAGTTCTAGTGAGTACTTGTATACATTAGCATTTAAAGAGGTTCTTGTGAAATATTATGTTACAAGTAGGGCTGAAACAGTAAATTACTGAATTGATTTCACATTCACAGCTTCTCAAATGTGAAGATTTTCTGCTTTTCTCTGTTTGTATCACTTTAAAGTTAATACGTTTGGGTTTTGGAGTGTTGGTCAGACAAAACAAGGAATTTGGGTTTGAGTAATTTTAAGGGCAATTTTCAATATTTTCTTACATTTTATAGAAATAAACACTTAACATACATAGTAATGGATGATTAATCAATTATGAAATTATTGTTTAATTAGTTGTAGCCTTAGTTACATGTGTCTGTGTTTAACTTTGTAAGGATATTTGCTTCACTATTGTAGATCCAAAAATAAAATACAGATTTATCTTAAATTATTAATCCAGCTGCAGTGAACACTAGCGATAAAAGATACATAATAATTCAGAACACATTTAATCAGAAAGTTAATAAAGTTGTGACTTGATTCAGTCAGTCGCATCATAAACAAGTGACATCTCACCTTTATTGGAGAGGTCTGACTCGTAGCTCTGATGTTTTCTGTCTCTTGAGTCCGTTGACTGTCGGTTGTTGTATCAATCTGAGCAGCTGTGTCCGCTGCTGTCTGTGCTATGCACTGCGGACCAGCACTGTCAACCCTTTTCACCGTATGTTCAGCCTGTCGTCTGGCTCTGAACTCTGCCAGCTTCTGCTCCATCGACACGGACGTTACTATGTGTACGTGGCAAAAGAGACGCTGGCACCACTCACTCAAAACCTCTGGATTTCACCGCTGCTTCAATAAAGCTTAATGTCAAATACAACCACGTCCACTGTCACTCACTTCCTCTTCGTTTTTAACATCATGTTGGTGAGATGTCATCATGCTACTAGCTTAGCGAGGCATTTGTTTACGTTTTACTTCCGCGCCTGCCAAAAAGAAGGATGTGATGTCGCAAAGAGCTGTCAATTGTCGTAAAAGGCTTCGTTTTCCAGCTACTTTTCACAGGTATGCTACAAGCTAGGTTGTTTGTTTTAACACTGCTAAAACATAATGGGATCGGTGTGTTTGTAGTTTGTGATATCAAGGCCTAGAGACCACATGCAACACAGCTTGATACATCAGAATATTTTATTAAACTTGAAAAGCCATTTATTTGAAGTAAGAAGCATTTGTTTCCATATAAATTTCAAAACAGCTTGCCCTTTAGTCTTTTAGCACATATGACTTAGGATGAGCCACTGTTTCTCCCCTGTTCACTCACTACCATTCCCACATTACTATAAATTAAAACAATTAAAACTTGTGCACCGAGTGTTAGATATTTGATGTGGCATAGCCCTCTTTCACGACCTGAAGTGAAGCCACTATTAAACTGCTTTAAGGAACAGAAACATGAATAAACCTGGAAGCAGACTAATCTTGATTTAATTAGTAATACAAAATTATTAATGAATATCATCACTGTAAGTCCCTGTATATTCCTGAGAAAAATAACATTTTTGTAAGGACAAAAGAAATGTGATTATTTAATATAAATGTGCAAATAACAAGTGTCTGTAACCCATCTCGCTGTCCAGCTGCTCTGCAGTGAGAGCGCCCAGCAGAGGCTGACAGTCTGGATTGAAGACAGAATAAGCGCTCAGTTCTCCAGGCTCGCGGGCAGCTGGGCTACGGAGTCCCTGATAGAGCCAGTAGAAGAGGGAGATGACAAAGAAGGGCAGGCCAAACTCTAGTTCAACAAACAGGCCGAGCAGCACCAGCCACAGCAGCACTTTCAGCAAAGTGAGGTTTGAGAAGACAAATTGTTTTGAAGCCAGCCATCTTCCCACAGCGCTGTCCAGCAGCCAGTCACTACGGTCCTGTAGAGAAGACGCAACAGGAGGTTCAATATGTTCAAAGTATTTCAACATCACAGGTATACTGCTTACAGTGGGTCTGGGCACAAAACAGGCCTCTCTCTGCTGGAGATGTTAGGAGGCTGTAGGCATGTTCAGTTAAGACGGGAGGACTTGTTACTTGCTGGTCTACTGTAGTTTGATTCACTTCAAACTTGTTTAAACTACAACCATTGTAGACAGATACGAGGGAAGTTCAGGCCAGGAGTATCATGGAGTGGCGTGTTTGGATATTCATTATAATTTACCATTATATATTTTTCATAATTTATTTGTTAGTTCTAGTGAGTACTTGTATAAATTAACATTTAAAGAGGTTCTTGTGAAATATGTTACAAGTAGGGCTGAAACAGTAAATTACTGAATTGATTTCTGCTTTTCTATGTTTGTATCACTTTAAAGTTAATACGTTTGGGTTTTGGTCAGACAAAATAAGGAATTTGGGTAATTGTAAGGGCAATTTTCAATATTTTCTTACATTTTATAGAAACAATTATACATCACTTACCAAATATAGTAATGGACTGATTAATCAAGATGAAATTATTGGTTGATTAGTTGTAGCCTTAGTTACATGTGTCTGTGTTTAACTTTGCAAGGATATGTATCACTATTGTAGGCCCATAAATAAAATACAGATTTATCTTAAATTTGTAAAATCCAGCTGCATTGAACACCAGCAATAAGTGATACATAATAATTCAGAAAATATTTAAACAGAAAGTTAATGTGAGGTGATTCAGTCAGTCACATCATAAACAAGTGACATCTCACCTTTATTGGAGAGGTCTGACTCTGCTCCATCGACACGGACGTTATGTCCGTGTCGGTGGACATACGTGGCAAAAGAGACGCTGGCACCACTCACTCAAAACCTCTGGATTTCACCGCTGCTTCAATAAAGCTTAATGTCAAATACAACCACGTCCACTGTCACTCACTTCCTCTTCGACTTTAACGACATGTTGGTGAGATCTCATCATGCTACTAGCTTAGCGAGGCATTTGTTTACGTTTTACTTCTGCGCCTGCCAAAAAGCAGGATGTGATGTCGCAAAGAGCTGTCAATTGTCGTAAAATACTTCGTTTTCCGGCTACTTTTCACAGGTATGCTATAAGCTAGGTTTGTTCATTTGTGGTGAAATCCCAAAACTCTACATTTCATTGATCAGTGGATCAGTTCAGGTATGTGTGTTTCAGCTGTCGGTAACCTTAGCTAAGCTAACGTTGTCTTGTATTACATTTAAAGCTATCGATAGGGAGAAAGTTAACGGACGAAGAAGCAATGTCCAAACTGTTCTTTATGTTGTCATTGTGGAAGACTAGTTAACGTTAGTTAGCTCTGCTAACTTCAGTGAGACTTAAACTCTATGAAGATAATCATCTTACAGCAGGTTCACTTCTTGCATTTTCAAGGATGATTTGTATCATCTCGTATACAAAACAACTAAGTAGGTCTGCTAACAGGCATTTGTATTATTAATTGTTCAAAGGATCAGAACATTGTGCAAAATGTTTATTTATAGTTATAAGAGCCTATGAGGGCATCTTCAGGTGGCATATTTTGTGTCCAAAACCCAAAAATATTCAGTTCACAATGATGTATAGCAGAAAAAAAATCAAATAATCAAAATCAACATATACAGATGAATTTTCTGTCGATCGTCAAGTACTCACTTCGGTTCTATGACTGAGGTAGCTGACACAGGAGGAGGTATTACTGCGTCGTGATTACTTCAGTATTTAATTTAGTCTAAAACAGTAAAACCGTCCTCTTTCAAACCATCTAGTGTCTTCCCTGTTCATACATACGTACATCTTTCTCTCTCCAGACATGGCCTCAGCTCCAGCACAGCAGCCTACCCTCACCGTTGAGCAGACCAGAGGTGAGAAAAACCAGTTATGATCTTATAAGTGTACATTTTCTAGCTGTTATGGTCTGTCTTATGTGCCCCACATCATTATTGCTGACACTTTCACCATGTCAAACTGCCGGATGACCCGAGATCTGTCTCCTCTACATTCAAACAGAAGCTGAAATCTTTACTCGGGCTTATCGTTTGTGTCTATGGGGTTCCTTACTGTCTTGGGATGGGTGGGATGTTTGCACTTGTACTTGCACATTCAGTTTACTTGTATTTCCAAGATCCTGTCTTTATCTATTTCATACAAAAATTACTTTCATCGCAGTTGCATATACATGTTGTAGAAGCAGATCAACTACTGATCTTTTGTTTGTCTCTTCCACAGTGGTACTGAGCGAGGTGATCCAGGCCTTCTCGGCACCAGAAAACACTGCGAGGATGGAGGAGGCTCGAGAAAGTGCCTGCAACGACATGGGCAAGATGTTGCAGCTTGTGCTCCCTGTGGCCACCCAGATTCAACAAGAGGTTATCAAAGCTTATGGCTTCAACAATGAGGGAGAGGGTAAGCGTAAGGCAGCATTTTCCATTCAGATATACACACCATACAGATGTACTCCACGCATTGGAGCATTGGACCAAGCAACAGAGTAAACTCTTAACACAAAGATTATTCTTAAATTCAGAGCCAAAGCATCATTCTGTAAAAGTAAATATTGTACAACCGGATTGAACTTCCAGGAACTCTACAGAGCAGAATGCATCATGTTATTCACTAGAGCTCTGCCATACATTGATAGCATTATTTTTAACTTTATTGATAAATACTCATTTACAAACTCCAGAATACATTCTCATTATATGAATATATATGGAGATATTTACTGTACTCATAGATCTTATGTACCACAGGGTAGATGACACATTTTATCACATTGATCTGCTCCACCATGATCGGCTCTGCTCCACTTACAGGTGTCCTCAAATTTGCCAGATTGGTGAAGATGTATGAAACCCAGGACCCTGAAATTGCAGCCATGTCAGTTAAGCTGAAGTCTCTCCTCCTGCCACCACTGTCAACACCACCTATAGGAGGTGCCATTCCAGCTTCATAGGACTTCTTTACATTCATTGGTCAACTGCAAGGTTACTTTCATCTAATTCTTTTGTTCAATATGAACAGTCTTGTCGATCATATACTCTTCCTGAGAAATATTGGGACAAATTATAGTTTCAAACTCAATACACTAAAACGTTCCAACAAAGATGAAACTTGCCTTATCTGCATTAAGGTTTAATTTAAAACATCCTTGCAACATTGTTAAATTATTGCCTTTAAAATGTTTCAGTATTTATTTGTTGCATTATGACATTTTTCTCATGTCGTTGAACCTTAAACATTTCCTTTAATGCCATCTTGTTTTCAATTTTAATTATACCATTTTTATATGCTGTCAAATGTATCAAATGTCATTCTTCTGTTAAATATTAAAAGGTTTTCTGTGAATCTGTGTGGCATTTATAGAGAAAATGTGTGGGGGGAAACAACTTTCATATACATAACTTTATTACTGCAATAAGGCATTTGGCAACAACATAGTCATATGATTACCATGTTTTTGAAAAACACTGAAGCGCTTACATACATTTACATATACATTTCCTGACGGATACTGTAGTGTTTAAGGTTAAAACATCAGCATTCCAACAAATAAAATATGAGTTCATGTCTGCCCCCTTCCTTTGTTTTAGTTTGGGTGCGTGCAGACATGATACTGTATGACAGCAGGAGAGGTTCATGATAAAACTATTAGTCAAGATAAATAAAACTTAAAAGTGCTCCAGATTCTGAAATCATCCACATAAAAATACAGCGCAAATTTACATTAATCATAAAGTGCTCATTAATTTCTAAAAGGCAAACCGTGCAAAACCAGTGCACCCAGCACCTGGAAACAAATGACAGTGATTGTTGAACATATTTATAATCTGACAAATCCTTTAGTGTCTTGTGCATCATCACCCAGCAACTATTTGGATCTGAATAAATGGTATGTAGAAAAATAGAAATACTCCAAGGTTTAGTTTCTGTGTGAAGTATGTTGTATAGCTGCATAAAAACATATAAAGTTTAATATTGTTGACGTTTAAAATCCTGGCTGCGCCAATATATTATGAGTAGAACTCCCTCTTGTGGTGAACAGTGTTTCAGTCACGATGATGGAAAAGAACCAGGATGAAGAGCGACAAGAGAAAATGACTTCACATCTCAAAGTGACGGAAAATGCTTTCGACATAACCCAGGACCTGCTGCCAGTCCGGTCCATCTGCCTTCAGCATCTCCTCCGATGTCTGTCACACAGTTAACATGTAAAGATAAGATTATACAACCAGTGGACACAGCTGGTTTAAATTGCATAATTTGTAATCTTACAAATGTTTTATGGATTGACTAAAATGTCTCACCAGTGTGGTTATGATTCCCACTCTCTCTCCTGTCTTAAAAGCAAGGTGCAGATTTTCCTTCTGTAAAAACATTTGAGTCAGAAGCAGCTTTTACATTATCAGGTGCATATTTTTACAGACTTTATTAATGATGTTCTGGTCCTTAGAACTGTGTTGTCGATGATAAAGTGAGTACAAGTGCTTTTTTTTTTTGTTCTTCCACAGTCAGAGTTAATGATCCAACACACCTGGACTGACTTTCTAGAGTACACAAATTTTGACTTGATCAATAACCTGTATGCCTGTTTTTGAGTTGAGAGATTATCAGTATTTGTTCCTGGATACCCAATAACAGCAACAGTTTTACCTTGTCTGCTGGGTTGAGGGTGTCGTACGGGATGTGAGTTGGCAAATATGTGTGATAAACAGCGCAGAACGCCAAACCGTCATCCCAGCTGCTGCTGAAGTTTGTGATCTCAATATTCTGCCAGAAAACATACTTGATCAAGACATGATATAACTGGTAAAAATGTATTTGTGTTGCCCACCCTGAATTCCTCTTAATTTAACAGATTTACTAAATATGTCAAAAATAGTTACATCCTCCTTTCTAACCTTATAACCTTGGGTACGACTCTGGCACCAGCGCAGCAGAGAGTTTCTTCTGGAGCCGCCATGACGCCTCAGCAGAGCACTGAAACCATCTTGAGGTCTGGGAGGGCAAGAAAAGCTTCCAAAGAATAACTTCATTTGTTATCACACATAATGAGATCAAGGAGAAAACAAGCTTTTTCTGCAGATTCAAGTGTGCAAAAGGGTAAACCGGAAATTGTGATTGAATGCGACTTGTTTGATTTGACTTATTCAAGCAAACATGCATCAGCCTTTCTGTTTCCTTTACACAGAGACTTCAGTGTCTGTTGAGGTGTGAGTATTAACAAAGAAAAGGACCCTAATAGTTAGTTACTTGATGGAATCCGAGCTTTGGTCCTCATCCTGTTTTCCTGCAAGACAAAAATGCAGTCACAGTCATACAACTGTACACTTACTAAGCTGTCTAAACAAAGTGTTGTTTGGTGGGTTTAAAGCTCACCTGTGTAAAAGCTGGACCAGCTGTCCTGCCGCTGTAAAATGCGGTCCATCCTTCTCGGTTTTGGTGGCTCTTCTTTCTGGAAAGTTTAGAAACAGATTCTTCATATGCCTAGTGTGATCCAACAGTAATATAAGTGTTTTCCACCTCCCTAATCACTCAAATATCCATCTATATAAATACGATAGGTTAAAGAGCATTTAATATCAATTCAACGCGTGTGGTACCTTGCATAGCGGCAGGGTTGTGCTCGTGTTTTTTGAGGTCTCATTTTCACTGGAGGAGTCAGTTGGGAGTGGGAGACGAGAGAGACTCCTAAAAGACAGTTTTTGCATGTTTTATAACACTGTCTTCTGTTAACAGGGGTGAATGTGTTGTGAGAGTTCATGTAGACTCACCAAGATCTTTCAGATAGCATCACAATCCTCCTTGGATCTCTCCCATCTTTCTTCTTGTCCAGTATAGCCAAACTACGAAGGTATCCCTCCGCCACCCCTTTCCCTGTCAACTGCATGCTCCCTGATCCATTTGCCTCCTCGAGATCATGACCCACAACATGAGCATCCACCTCTTGATTTGTTTCGTTCTCCTTCTTTTCAAAATGTTTAACTTCAGTGTTGGTTTCAACTTGCCTGGGTTTTTCCTCCACAACTTCCTGTATTTCCTCCCCATGCGCATCCTCAGAGTCTCGTCGCTCTGCCTGTTCATCACATTCTGTTGTATCTTTCACCTTGCAGGCGTCCCTCACAGCGTCCAGCTCGGCTCGCTCCAGCTGCCGCTGCAGAGCGAGTTCAGTAAGTTTGCAGCAGACATCTCTATGCTCGGCCCTCAGACTCTCCAGCTCTCCCACCTTCTCCTGCTCTCTGCTGAGGGCATGAGCCAACTGCTCCTTCACGGCCCTGTGGCTCTTCTGGAGCAAACCCAGAGCCTGTTCCGACTCGACCCGCAGCCGGTCGGCCACAGACACCGCAACCTGCAGGTCACACTGGAACTGATGCCACTCCAACCTCTCCGTCTGTTATGTAGGACAAAATAAAGAAAAGAAAATGGAAAAGAAACCGTGAAATCGGAATTTAAAAGCTGCTTGTTCTAGATATGGCTCTTAAGTCATGTATGTTTCTCTTTCTTTTCATGTTTATTTTATTTTTTTTCTTAGTTATGTCGTATATTTTGTTCTTATTATAAATGCTTCTATTGTTTCTGTTTTTAACATGTAAAGTGTCTTTGAGTGCCTTTTAAAGCGCTATATAAATAAAATGTATTATTATTATTATTATTATTATTATTAAGCGTCCGCTAAAGAATAAAGCAGAATAAAACTAGTGAGTTTTAGGACATTTTTAGGGCCTACGGTTATCATGGGACTTGCAGCTCCAACTCACCCTCAGTGTCTCCCTAAGTGTGTCCACCTCCTCAACCAGCTCATCTCTCTCTGTTATCAAGCACCTGAGCAGCTCTGAAAAACAAGTTGAACAAAGAAAAGCACATACGGTTGAGTGAAAGTCAATTGAAAAGTCTGACAACAGGATAGGTCATTCATTCATTATTTACTCAAGAGCAACACATTTTCATAAAATGCTCAATAAAATAAGAAAAGGACATGACTAATTACATTAATGGTGGCTCTGTTTGATTTAGCCATCCGAGTGAGGCAGTTTGTTCCACACCAGAGGCCTGTTATACCTGCTATATATGGGATGGGGCCATTAATAGTATTATTAACCATCTTTGAAAAGTCAAATATTTTGCCCTGAGAACAGCCTTGACTCTATAGTGAATTAAAAGTAAGTGAAAGTTCTATGAATAGCCAGTAAAATTAATCAGCTTTTTTATTTTTGGGCTTAAAAGGGGCACTAGGGTTCTACTCTCAGCCTGTAAAATCAGTGGCATGCTTTCTAAAGTCTGATGAAGTAAGCCTTATGATGTCAATCGATGTCCTCAGGGTTATCTTGGTTTGGACTAAAACAATTAACAAAATCTTGGATTTCCAAAGGAGGCATAGGGTTGACAAAAAAGTAAAGCAAAAGATAATATTGTTGAGTTGCATTATGGGAAATGTAGGATCCAGTGATTTTGGAGCTTAACCCTCACTAGTGACTAAAAGTCAGGATGTCTCGACCTCAGCCGTTTCCAATTTGGCCATTTCTTTCTTTAATTTTTCTCTTGCAAGCAAATACTACATCACAGAATAACCTCTTTAAATTTTGTCCTCCTACCTTGTCCGTTTACTTAATGCATATTCTAAATTAATTCAGTGATGCAAAAATACCCATCCTTTTGCATTACTAAATCACAATCAGATGAATCTAAGTAAAGCAAAAGAAGCACAGCTACAGTTTTAGGCAAGTTATCAGTTATCTGTGTGTAGGTAAACTAGTCATAATTGTTATTACAACAAGGTACTTGTGATTCTTTTCATTTACATTAAGTAAAGGCAGGGACATGTTTTGCAATTTTTCTTAAAAGGTTCTCTGTCAAACATTTAGAGCTTTAATATCACAGCTAACAACTATTTGCTAAGTATAGAGACAGTAGAGTAATGTCTACCTGAGCAGAGAATGAAGTCACTCTCCCTCTGTGTGTTGTAATCCAAGCTTCTTTGTGCTTCCTTGATATAGTTGGGCCAGCCGCGTGCCTTTTAGTTCATGCTAGTGCATGCGAGCGTGCCCAACTGGTTAGCTCACGACCGCTGCGCTGCTCTCATACAGCTGTTATTGCCGTCCTGACCAATGACTGTGACACCCACCCTCTAGTTTCCCATCAGTTAAACGCTGTTAGCTCTGCCAGCACTGTTTGCACTGTAAGATGCGAGCCAGCTCAGTTGTCACCATGTTGAGAGGCGATAGAAATGCTCTCACTCCCGCGTTTAGCACCTTTAAAGCTTGGGTTGGTAATGTTATTCAGAACACTCTTTTTCTTAAATTTGTTGAAATTCTGTTTTCATCCCGACAGCAATCAATGAATCAAATGCTCTGACAAAAAAAATGAAAATAATCCGGTTTCTGTGGCTGTTGCAGGACTGTAATAAGCCTGTTTCAATCGGATGTAATGACCGGACGGGCTACCTGCTTGTCTACCTACACGTATTCTACCTGTGTACTCACTGCTCGTCAGCAGAGTATGCCACAAGCTTCTAGCTTGACAGCTGTGAGTTCTAACAATGGTCATGTTTGTTGTTTACGTTCATAATGATAATTTGGGGGCAGTGGCTTTGAAGAGAGACCTGAAGGGACGCTCTGTCAGTGTTGCTGACTTGGCAACTTTCTTGCTACAAATTTTGGAGCTACTGCTGCTAGCTAATTTCATTAGAAAATAATAGGCACCACTGAGCTGGGTTTATTGTTTGATACTTTTTAAAATTTAGCTTACTCTTTCTAGTTTCTCAACATTATCAACCCTAGCTTTAAAGTATCTTCAAAAAAACAAAGATAAACAGTGAAGGTTGAGGACCTACCTACTGCTCCTGTGGTTACATCAGTGTTGGGGGTCAGGCCTAGTGAGGCACTGTAGTGCTCCATCAGACTGAGTAAAACCAGGGTCACCTCCTCTCCGGCTCTCTCTGCTGTAGCCTGCGGCTCCAGTCCACTATCCCGCTCCTGCCAACTCTGCTCTGAAGACGATCCACTGGATGGAGGCAGGAACGCCAGGCTGACCGGGCTGCCCGCTGCCTTTCCATGCATCACTGCTGCATCGCTCACATTTGGCTCTGAGGGGACACCGTCTACGCTTATCACAGCCCATTCTGAGGGAGCAGACAGTTTCTGTGTCCAGTCTGCAAGTGGAGAGGAGATGGAGGGGGTGGTGGTGCCGGTTGGTGATGGCGTCTGTGACTTACTGGAGGAAGCTGCAGAGGATAAGGCCATGGCAGTCAGCTCTGCCTCTGAGGGCGTGGTAGGAGGCGTGTGGAAGAAATCTAAAGGAGAACCTAAGAGGGGGAAATGTAAAACTGATGGGGAGCACAAAAAAAACAAGCATCGGAGAGAAAAAAAAAAAGGAGGATAATATGATGTCCTGAGCTTTAAAATGCTGAATGCAAAGCCCCCCTCTTCTTTTACTCGAAGATTTAAGCACTGCTCCCTTATTTACTGTCCTGGGCTGACTGATGCAGCAAAAAGCCTCTGCTGCCAATGTCTTGGCAGGCAAACACTCACACACTGTTCCCCCATGTGACAAGATCCAGGAGGAGAGGAGATTGTACCCTGCTCTACAATCCAACAGCTGCTCTCACTGCCACCACAAGGTGATTACATCCATCATCAGTGCTGCCAGTATTCTGCATAAACCATGCACAACATTTTTTCAAGGAGAGTGAATTTTTGTGTCATGAAGCCTCTAAAATGTGACCTGTCACTGAAAAATAATTTCTGAACTTTGTGATTTCTCTATGACGCTGAGAGTATGCCGTTTATGGTGTGCATTGTTTATAAAGGATCGCGGCAGGCGACAGGGATCTCCACCTCCTTTGACTCAGATCCTTTCATGCTTCCCCTCCTTGCCCTTGTGTTATGCTGCAGGATTCTGCAGACTCATAATTTCCTTGGCAGCAGCATGATGTAGTCTGCTCGGCTACAGCAGGGGAGCTATTCTCAGCCTGCTTCCTGCATACCGACAGCCATGAGAGGGAAACAAGGAGCAGCATTTTAAACAGCTGTAAGTGAGAATTAAACTGAGCGAGCCGCAGACTGAATGTCTTAAGGTGGTAAACAGTGCAGGACTGCACAGGGCAATTGCACACATTAGCCGAGCCAAATGAAAGCTGGTCAGTGCTGCTTTGACATGAGAGATCTTAAAGATCTGACATTGCTAGATCCAACTTTCACTGAACCCTTTGGGATACAGTTTATATTTCACTGCATAGTTCTGATTCATCACTTCCTGCCAAGAGATGTTTCTGTGTTTCATGCAGTACTCATCAGAATTTTATTTAGACATATCGGGTACATCTCCAGTGTTCCTCAGTGGAAATGTGACTCAAACCCATGTTGTGATTTAGCCATACAGTTACTTTCTCATATCAATATTATTATTCCTGGGTTAGTGGCATACTTAATTTCAGAACATGATTTTTGCTGCCATTGCTATAATTGCTACAAGAGTGTGCTTTTGGTAAACAAATATAAGGATATGATGGATTAGGGGGATGTAATGAAACATCACTGCGCTCACCCTTGTTTTGTGCTAAAGCCAGTAAAATGTGCAGTTCCAACTGAAATAAACTGTTTCACGCAATAGTGTTTTGAACTTTTCCTTAGTAAGTATGAATGTTTTCTGCATTTTTATTGTTTTGCATTGCAGAAGATTAACAAATACAAACGTTTCAGCTGATACCTTACTTGGTGTAAAGGCTCTTGCTAGCAACACAAAAGAATAAAAACTTCAGAAGACAATGTTATTTTGTTCCCATTGCAAACCAGTTTATTTTCACTTGTCTTGGAACCAGGAAGACGAAAGTCTAAAAATAGTCCGTCTTACAGTATAATGACCAGAAGAATGGAAAAAAAAGTGTCAGAAAACTGGCCAGGGGCAAAAACATCAGCATTCTCAATTACCTATACTCTGAAAATATCATTTTTTTAAAATTTAGAAATAGAAATCAGCCACTGTTTGTGTTGATGGCCTCTGTCTTCATGTACCTGTAGTGCCATGGCTGTCTCTGTCAGTCTGGTTTCCCATGATCCAGCAGAGTTGGCTATCTGCATAGGCTACTTCAGTGTCCTTCACTGCGTCCTCTGTTTTGTGAGGCCCACTGCTGTCTGGACGGGAGGGAATAAATATAAATCTTTCAGGAGAATGAATCACGGCTGATCTCTTAATTAGCAGAACGAAATAAGAGCAACATGTCAAGAAAATAACCTTACAAGGACTTTGTTAGGGAAATGTTTCATGCAGAATCTTCTTAGCTTGGAGGTGGGAGCCCAAACATTTTCCCTAACATAACACTATGTTTAAATATGATTATTGTCTTTCACAAAATACACCAATGTCTTTTAGATAACACATTAGTCACTGTTTTGACCATCTCCCAATAGCTAAGAATGAAAAGCTGCAAATTATACAGCTTTTACATACATTTGACACAAAAGCAATTAAAGTTGTGTTGTTCAACAAAGAACCACAGCTGCGTTAAATTAATAACATTCTAACAACATCTCATCTCCAGTTTTGTGGAGTTCACCTGGTCGATGCTTAACAAATAATTAATCAAACTGTTTGATAATCTAGCGATTTAAGGTTGTTGCGGTTATTGAAAAGAAGGCTACATTAAATTGCACAACTAACCTCAGATGTTGTTGTTAACCCCAGGGGAATTTGACATGCACATGATTTACTATGAGGCACAAATGAGTCACACTGCTGACTACTGGCCTCCGCAGATCATTTTACTGAGTATTGTGGTATTAAGCTATAACTCTAAACCCAGGGAGTTTGTTATCAAATCAAAAGGTGTCGATGAGTGAATTCTGCGCCGTATTAACGAGTCATTTCTATCAATTTGTAAAACGTATTAAAAATGTGATGTGTGACACACGGCTGCTTCTAAGGAGCCACGCAACATTAAACTGTCCGGTTGGTGAATGAAGACAAAAAGAATCCGTATCGGACAGATGATTTCATTGTGTTAAACTCTTTTTGCTGTGGCATACGTTGCATCCAACCAAGGACACTGCACACACCGCTCAGTTTCATTCATCCTACCTGTCTCAGCCTGCCAGCTGGGCGGCGTCCAGTTCGGTCCCCGGCTGTCCGGCGGGTTTCTTCTCGGGGTGTCTCGACCTCTCTGTCGGCGTTTTCTGCGTCCCGTTTCCCAAATCTACCGACGGACACTGTTCGAGTTACTTGCAATCATGTTTTCCCGATATCCCATGTTCACCACACAGCTACAGAGCGGCAGCCACCATCTATAACTTGGGTCCAATTCCCGATAATATCCAACTCCGCTTCGCCTTTAAATCCAATGCGACAAAAAGAGAAGGAGGCAGAAACAAACTGGTTGCGCAGCAGCTGCATGTTGGATCGACGACATGAGTGTTGTTAATGGCATCATTTAAAGCAATGTTAGAAGACGTTTTATCACAAAGTAACGATTCAAAACACAAAATAATGTGAATTAAGCCGAGTCTATATTTAATTAAATGTTGTTCTGCTGTGAAAACACGCGGCGGGGAAGGGAGGTAGTTACACCTGCTGGCAGCTAATTACCATTAAATGCAGGTGTGGTGGCAGCAGGTGATAGGCTGCAGCTTCACCCGCTCTGAAGCTGTGTTACGCCCCATAGCAGCCGTCATATAGCTCACAAGATGTGAATGAAAAACAGCCAAACAGCTGAAGTAATATATCATAGAAATACAAAAATATGCAAACAAACATATATATCATTTAAATACAAAGAACATAAACAATACAACAAAAGATATTACAAATTAAAATGATTCAGTGAAAACGACTTTGTCAAAGACTATAATGTGTGTTTGTTTCAGCAACATGAAGAGAACTAGAGCTAGTCCTAGTTTAAACATTTCAGCATAACGGAGAGGGATGGAGTGAGTCTCTCGACTATTATCATGCAGTTCTTAATTATAATCTGGATTACCTTTGAAAATTTCAGGACCATGGACAGAGCACAGTGAAGAAGATTGTCTCTGGCGCCCTCCAGTGACAAAACTCGGGACTGACAGGTATAATAAAAGAGGCAATAACATCTGGATTTATACTTAAATGTTTAATTAAAAAATAAATAAATACAAGAAACATTAAGTCATTAACAAAATCTGAATTGTATGTTATATTTCAATTGCTTTGCCCAAATTGATATTAAACAGTTGGTTTAATGCATACCATTTAGTGGAGTAACTTGTTGGAAGGCTGAATGAAGTTACTTTGTACGCATTGTGAGGCTTCACAAATGTTTTGTTTTTCCTTCCTCTTTGACAGGTTTCCCTATGGGTCCATGGGGAGTGTCACAATGTTTTTTGTGGATAAGAAATAACACTTGATCAAACAAAATTGAGTTTTGTTGTTTCATGTAAAATAGCAGTGTTTTCCTATTTATGCAAAACATTCAACGCATGTTGCAGTGTCTCAGACTTTTGATGTTGTTTATACTACATTCCAGACATCAATTATTTTCCTTCAATATAACTAAAATCTACTTGCAGAGATTTTTGACTGAGCAATGAACATTTTATATGTGTTGTCTTGTTCCCAAGGTATCACTATAAGGGCAGATTGATTTGCACTGTGTAAAATGTATTTGTCTCAGCGGTGTGAGCAAAGGTTAAGAGATGCAGGCAGTTTTTTGCTTGTGGCTGTTTTCTGCACTTTACCCACGATTGCTCAGTGACCTCTTGCTCCTGTACACCACGCTGAAGTTTCTTAGCATCAGAAATCAATCTCACACTAATCCCACTCACTTTACCATAAATATGGTAGGCCTATCCAAGCTTAAGGCACTTTAAAACAAAACTATCAAGCAAGATTAGTGTGTGTAGGAGGAGGAACCTTTGTTCACTTTTTATTCCTTGTTTTGTTGTAAAGTACTTTCTATAGGTAATGAAAAGTACAACGTAAATAAAGTTATTATGTTCAATATTGAGTAATGATAAAATAAAATGTGTTTTTCAAGTTTAGCTCATATGTGTAGGTCTGAAGTAAACTAATATATGTGCAATAATATAATATTTACTATATTTGATTTATAGCCGTCACGAAGTAGATAATGCATTGTTTGCACTCTTATTCACCGGCAATTCAACCACCATTCACTTTGAATTACGTACGTCACGTTTAGCCTATGTAATGTAAGCTTGAATCGATTAAATTTAATGTTTTTTACATTTTTACATTTTTTTCTGTTTAATTTTGTACGTTAGGTTGTTGAGAAGTTACGTGTTACATTATGTCTATTATAATAATTACTTATCATAATAATAATAAAAACAATAGTAATATTTATTATTAGCACTATCATAATTATTATAAATACAAGTACGCAACTGTACTGTATGGGCAGACTTTGCAAAAATGGCGTCTGATATTGGCTGCCTTCAGAAGCGAAGCTGTGCTATCAGTGACCACGACAACATCAGTGCATTATAATTCATCTCCAGAGAATGAAGTCTGCAGCTGCATCAGGACTTGCGTCGGACAAGAAAACACATACAAGCCGCCGTCATCATGGGAAACTACGGCCGCTCTGTCGCAGATGTTTCTAACGAACAAGACCATGAACATTTTCACGGATACCAGGAGACATGATCGCCTTTCACTTATTTACCGCCCGTGTACTATCGAAGAAGAAGTGACCTTCTCTGAGGAGGAAGATGTCAGCGCTGAAAAAGGTAGGAGACGCACCGTGTCGTGTTTGTGCATGAACCGAGCCTGCAGCGAAGCCTGTTGTTGTTATTGACGGGGTTTTTCTCAAGAAGCGCACCTACATGAGGTCTGATGGAGGTTTGGGGCTGTTGGCCAGGTGAAGCCACCACCTTGTCACATTGAAAGTGTAAATGTCAGAAAGTTACGCAGCGCATGAATGAGTCACTCACCGAATGATTCTTTGCACTTGTCAGGGTGTTTCCTGAAGTGATTAATCAATACCACTGAATGATGCATGGCGTGTGGGTGAGAATTAGAGAAGGGCCTACATGTGTTTGGAGGTGGAGGGAGGGTGTAGGTGCCATTGAAGAGATTGTGAATGGAGGGGACCCACAGTTTCTCCCTCAAGTTCCTTCTGTCTGTCCATGCCCACACGTTCCCATTGTGCCGCTCCCCTCCATTCAGTCAATGTGTGCCTGGAGTGACTCAGCTGTATTGTACTATATCTGTCATCCATCTTTTCATCTGTCACAGGTGTTACCATGGCTACTACAGACTCACTGCTGTCTTTTCTTTGAGAAGGACTCAGGTAAGAGGTGGGAGGGGCAATTCAGTCTTACATAATGAGGAGATGCCAATCACTTTTATAAAAGGCTTCATTTCTACATGTTGTATAATGGCTTTATAGTAGCAGGGATCTGAAGGAATGAGTGTTGTGATGGAGGCTTCTTTGTTCTTTGCAAGCGATGAGTTTTCACGGTTAGGATGAGACCATCGTGGCCTGTTGTAGTTGGTGTTTAACAGTGTTAGTGTGGTGATATTCTATATTTTCCTTATTGTCAAATAATCCCCCCAAAAAGACCAAATTGATCATGCTAAGTTTTGCCTTTTTAGCCAAAGCTTGATATATCTCATTGCTAAGTGTTATAGAACTCCATTATTGTCCAATAACTATTAAAACCCCATCAATGAGCCACATTGTTGCACTGAATGACATGTTCCTTCATTACAATAAACACAGGCTCTGTAATAGTAGACGTACCATATCTCAGGTTCGAAAACCACTTAATCTGCTGGGTACATCTGTTTTCTGAATGGAACTAGTGTACTCGTAAGCCTCGGAGGCAGAGAAAATGCTGAATGAGGATTTGTTTGAAGATCTACATCACAACATCACAACATCAGCAGTAAACATAAAATTGACATATTATGAAGCTCTAAAGTTGATAAGGCAAATATGTCAGCAGACGGTTGCCTGTTTACACATCCAACAGACATGGAGAAACGTCCGCATTCCCTTGGAGTTGTGTTTGTGTCCACCTGATGAATGTAATATTTATTCTACTTTTAGTTCTCCCCATCAGATACTGAGATAATTACTTGTCTCTTTATTTGCCTAATTCTCCTACTATGTTTATCAGCTAGGTGCTAACTTTGTCTGCCGTTTGGTGCTGAGCAAGAAGTGTGCAGCGGGCCTATCAGAGCTTTCTTCACTGTAATGAGAGCAGCGAGTCGGAACCAAAACAAAAGAAGTTGCGGGCTGTAAACAATGAGGAGCAAGATGTTAAAATGCTCCAAATGAGCGTCAACGTTCACATACACATAGTCATTCCACCCATTGATAATATCAAAATATTGATTGGTACAGCTTTATAGGACAATTCAACAATCCTTTGGATAAGCCCGATTGTTATCACCGTGCTTTTACAATGACAAAGATCGCTTCCTGCTTTCCTTTCTGTGTAAGTTACATGTGATCTGACAGATGAAATGTTTCTCTATATATGTATATACAGACAGTTTAACAAATCAACTGTATATAGTGAGGTGCAGGTGTTAGCTGTTTGGGCATAGAGCATAAAGGAGATAGCGGTTAATTAGGTAAACTCTGCACGACTCCTTTTCTCAGCAGAGGTCAGAGCTCTGAGAACCATCCAAGGAAAAAGCACTGCAGGGGTCCGCTGCCTTTCTCTTGGCATTTTTTTGGGCATCCTAGATGATCAAATGCTGGCTCACATCAGCACAAACATCAAATACTATCACTTTCACTGTGATGCGTTTGAAGCCAAAGGCCAAGACGAAATCATGAAACAGTAATGTTGAATTTTGTAATTTCTTTGATTTTCTTCGTTATAAATACCACAAACGGACACAAACATATAAATAAAGTATTCTCAAGATTCTCGGGACAAGAGAATATAACTTGGTTGTTGAGCATGTTGGTGTATATAATTCACCAAACATTTTGAGGTCACGTTCGGCTATTTTTACACTGAAGCTTTTTGTTGTGCTCATCAATATCTCAGGGACATTTTGCACATTTAGCCCCAACACTAATCGTTACCTTGTGTCTCTGTTGCAGCAGCGTCATCCTAAATCATAACACCATAGATGAAGACTGCAGGATCTCAACATTGACAGCATTTGCTCAAACAATGATCATACAGTATTATGTGTTAATGGAATTCTGAAAGTGTCTTTTTTAAGCATTGCAAATAGGCTGACGTTGGAGTTTCAGCACACATCAGAGATTATCTGCGAGTTAATCGTGTGTAGGGTCCTTCTGTGCTTTTACAAGCTTTGTCAGCACAACGTTTCCAGATGAAGTAAGTGAACATGGATGAGGGAACATCTCTGCTTGTTTGATGTGCATAACCTAAAGAATTGTTCTGAGTTTTTTCTTCTTCTTTATCAGCCATCCGGAGAACTTGCTCTTGATCACACCTTGCTCATCATTTTCTCAAGGTTGAGGCAGAATGTTAATGAGTGTGTGGACCGGATGATTTTAAGGGATATTAAGCAAGCAGGAGCAGTGATGCTGTTTATGGCTTTTTGTGCATGAGTTTAAGCTTTAAAAATGAGCATGATGAGCATTTATAATTTGTGTTGTTTCGATCGGTTTTAATCTAGAACTGAATTATAGCAGAAATGTGCAAATCTTTAAATTTCTGAAAGCACTTCAGGTGAGTTTTACACCACTAGGTGGGACTGTTCACTCGGTAACATTTCAAAACGCTGCGATGACATACCTACTGGTGTATTTCAAAAACTGACCATTTCAGAAACATATTTACTTAGTGGGCTCTCTTATGCTGCTCAATAAGTTGTGTCAGCAGCAGTGCAAGGGTAAATGTGTTAGGACTAAAAGCAAAAGAATCACCAGAGCACACATTGTGCATTGGGTCTCTCTGCTGTTACCGTAGCAGCTCTTGTGTTGTCCCGACAGTCTCATGTATATACACATATACATGTACATAAATCGTTTTGGTTTTATTTTAGACTGTGCGGTTTAGAGAATGGGAGCAGAGGTCTTGTAAAGAAAGCAGCTTATTTTAAAATGTAGCATCGTACCCATTAGGATCTGGAGGGGGTCGACAAAATAACAATGGGACGTCAAACAATATATACTGTAATTCATTTCCTAATGAGGACCAGTATCAGTCCACTTTGATTTGCTGTCAGTCTGCATGCACAACTGTATGTAGTAGAATGATAGAAAACCATCAGTTCTTTAAGGTGTAGATCTGCTAGTTGGCGAGTCTATGGTGGTGACTATCCATCACAACCGTTTAACAGTTGTCATGAGACGGTAGTAGGTTGAAAACCTTTTTCTCTTTCCAAACATTCACCTGCACAGAAGAAGTGTAGAAAACACTGGCTCACTGGCTTAAGAGGGTTGTCTGGTAACCCCAGGGTCAACAGTTCAATCCTTGACTGGGACGTGTCATGTGTCGAAATGTCCCTGAGCAAGACGCTGAACCCCTGGCTCCCCGGGCTCCTGTCATTGGCAGCCCACTGCTCCCTATATACAGGGATGGGTCAAATGCAGAAGTCAAATTTCGTGTATGTGACAATAAAAAGGGTTTCTTTCCATCTGCATCAGCTATTGCTGATGAGTCTTTTTCATCTAGTGAAGGAGCGCTAATATTTCTCTTGAGTAGCACATCTACTCATTCAGACTACCAATAAGTCTTACATTGGGCCTAAAATCAATATGATCCTTTCCAAATCTGTATTTATTCCTCTCTCAGATTGTCTCTTAACCTTATAGCTCTACTGTGCTGTAGGACAGAGAAGAGGCTGGGGAAGGAGGGAGGACGTGAGAGGAATGTGAGGGCAAGTGTTGCTCTAGTGGTTGGTGAAATATGCAGTTCTAGTTTGGATAAGAGGTTGCATCAGGACTTTGAAAGACAGTAAAGTGTTCAAGTCTCGTACTGTAATTTGCTTTTATCTGGTGCAGACGATGTGGAACAATCCGTTTTGGCTTGCCTCCTGTTGTTCAGTTCTGTGTAACTTTCTGCATGGAATGTATGCCATTTAAACACCTGCACATGGCCTGAAAAACGTGTCTGATCTCGGTGACGTCAGCAGGGACAAGACCAGGAAACGGCTCCCTCCCTTTCAGACGGAGGAGTGATGTCATCGCAGGGAGAGCGTGAGGTTGGCTGAGGCTTTATTGAGCTTGACGTTTTATCACCCAAAAGCACCAGACGCATGACCACATGCACCAGTCAGTACGAGGACACAGAGCAGCAAAAAGTGAGAGCCAAATAACATGGCAACACGTTTGTGACACGCTATAAACCCCCTCGAGAGGGAAAAGGGGTGTGAGGCGAAGGCACGTAGAGAGACAGAGACGCTTAAACCAAGAGGGGAAGAGGGACAGCATGAGTGTGCATGCTGATGGGGATAGGAGCGTGTTGAGCAACAGAGCTGCAGAATCCTGAATCCAGCAGATGGAGACTCCGTGTCCTTGTTTTGCGGTGATCTTTGGGAGCAACATGCAGCTCGCGCCGCTGCCTCGCACTGCTGCAGTGGAGGAGTAAATGCGGAGCCCAACACTGCTCCAGGTGATCCACAGAAGCCCAGCCTGGCAGACTGCTCCCTCCTTAGCCTTCCCTCTCCTCCTCCTTCTCCTCCTCCTCCACCTCCTCCTCCACCTCCTCTTCCTCCTCCTCCTCTTCCTCCTCTGTCAGTGCTCCATTCTTTTGAGGGCTTTGGAAAAAATAACAAGAAAGGAACAGAAAAACAGAGGATCCTGCTTTCCCCCTTCGTTCTCAGATGTGAAACACCTCTACATGACTGTCCGCCGCTTCCCTCTCATCGTGTGAAGACGCACCGCATATGTGCTCCAATGTCTCCGGAACATAGACTTGCTGCAAGGTAAGAAGACTTAGACTTATGAAAAAAAACCTGCATCTAGTCTTTGCTCTTTTTTATTTTTGCTTTTCTCTTGAGACATTTTCTACAGAACTGTTACAGGCTTGTGTGTGTTAGAATTTAATAGGTAGATGAGAAGTTGGCACAGCAGAGAAGGTAATTGGTATTCCATGCAACGAATATAAATACGCTCCCAGAGATAGATCTTTGTCAGATATGGCAAAATACATGTCTTCAGTTTTGGAGAAAAGGAACCTCTTCTCCCCTTCAATCACAGTGATCCGTGCAAGTGTGTGTTCATATGTATGTGTGTGTAACAGAATCCAGCAGGGTGGGAGGGATTGCTCCTCAAAAAGCCTTCTCGATGGGCAACAAGGGGATTTTCACAATGTGGCCAAACAGCTTTCCATCGATCTTCTTACGGCCAATAACGTCGGCACAATCTCTGGCTTCAAAATGACAGACAAGACTGTCTTCTTTAATGGTACCAGTAGTTTATCATTATATAATCGTTTTTAGCGGTTGTGTTTGGTTGTAAAGTGAGGAGAAATGCTCTTCTTGTCAATTTACGTTTCTCTTCATGCCTCATTAGTCATAGATGGAGGGAATTCAAGATGAAATTAGGATACAAAAGGGGAGATAAGGATAACAGCAGCAGGAAGATGAGGACAGAGGAATGAGGGGGTGTTGTAGGAGAACTTACTCCATCACTGTGATTCCTGAAACCTGCTAGCCAACAGTTGAACAGTGTGATCTCTCCCAAATCCTTAAATCTCTTAATCACACGTTGGGTGTGAAGCCTCAAAGCCTTAACCTGTAAGTGACCTAATGAAGGTTTATCGCCTTCACCTTACACACACAAAGACCCCTCCTAATGCCATAATAAGAAATGGAGACGAGCTGGTGCTGCAACGATATCCAAATCATGCATTCTGCTCTTTCACAGGGCTTCATGTCTGTGTGCTGAAACCTTTGACAGTGTCTTGCGCTCTGTTTAGCTTCTGGATTTGTTGCCCCCCCCCAAAAGAAATATGCTGGTTATGTATGACCTTAAAAATAGGTGAAAAAACATAAACCTGTTTTTGTGTATGTACATTCAGGTTCAGGCTCATTCATGTCTGCATACAGATCAGATAGCATGCCAGTTTTTTTATAACTGTACTGTGATATGCAGCAGAGGACTGACAGATGCTCTTTATCACTGGAAGCACTAATCCCGTATCCTGACACATGCAGGCACCCATACAAACTGTACATACAGCATTCACCCTTGCAACATGCTCCATCTCCCAATACACTGTACAAACAGTGAGCTAAAGGCTCACCTAGTATATGCATGCATACAGGCACACTCAGACAACTGTGTGGACTGAATCAAGCTGCTTTCATGTTTAAGGTGTCTGAGGTGGTCATTTGTCATGTATGACATTAGGATGCAGAGGAGGATCTCAGAGGTGCAGAGTCTCAGCTCCCAGGCGGCTTCTTCCTGCTCAGATTTTCCAGCGGATACACTGGCATCCTGAAACGCCTCATTTAGCCAGTTTCCAGCAAAAAGCTTGAAGCTCCCAACAAGAATAAAGTGTGGAAAGCCACTCCAGCAGCCCCTAGAGGCTGCAGTGTGTATTACACAATTTTGGGCAATGAAATGTTGGTCGAAATGGACAACATATTGACTGACTCATTTTGCTAGAAGCTTACTGCTCCGATGGTTCAATGAATAGCTCAATATTTCAAGAAATACGCTCATTCTCTTTCTTGCGCAGACTTAGATGAGAAGATATACATATGTAGCTGTAAATGGCTGCTAGTTAGCTTAGCTTAGCATAAAGGCTGGAACAGAAATGTAGAGACGACAACTTGAAGTTTTACGGGGGTTATGTGCTGGACTATTTATTGGCTGGGACCAGTAACTTCCAGTAGTGTTTGCTACCTGGTGATAGAACAAACGATATAAAGTGTGAATCAGTGGGCTTTATTGGTGCCGATAGACAGATTTTGTTACCCTAGGACAGAGCCAGGCTAGCTGTGTTCCCCCATTCCAGCCTTAATGCTAAGCTAAGCTAATTTCCCTAAAATGTCAAAAGGGGTTTTATCAAATTTCATGGTAAAATGTTGAGCGAGACATCCTCTGAGGACCATTAATATCTAAACCAAACTCGGCAATCTGGCCACTAGTTGTTGAGATCTGGACCAAGTAGCTGACAGGGGGACAAACGGTGGTTGGACCAACAGAACGGACTGATTAAATCTCGTTTGAGCTCTTTTTTACAACCTCCTTCATTGCAGACACTTGGTAGTGGTTTTAACGATGGCTCAGTTTGGTTAGTAGAGCGATGAAACATCCTCTGCATGTCGGAGATTATTTTAACGTTCACAATCTCCGTTTGACACCACAGTTTGCTTTTTGTGTCCTATTTTGGGAATGGGAGTTTAGTCATTTGACACAGATTACAAAATGAATAATTTGTTTATATACCCTCTGCGTTATGCTCACAGAGCGTGTTTGTTTGTTTTTAGGATTAAAGCTGCAGTACATCTGGCTGTTGATGGCATCTCTTCGCTCTGTTTTGCTGCAGGCGTTTTTGAGGTCAGGATGGAATGATTAACCAGCTATTAACTGACAAGCTGATTCACTGCTGGGTGCAAAGCAGGACAATAAAAATACCAGTGAGTCCCGTGAAATTGAAAGTGATAATTCACATTTTTAGAATAAAAATGATGAAGCTTTTATGTTGTCTTATCCATGGTGTTAAACATGATCAAAACATCACCTGGAAGTCAAACTGGCACTGCTGTAATGCCTTCTAACTGATATTTGTTGTTGAAGAAGCTTACTTTTCTGTTAGTAATGGTGGTGATGACTGTGCATATTAACCACAGAACATAGTAATATTTCAAACTTCAAACATAAAACATTTCAAATTTGGCAGTACATTATGTCAGTCTGTCTACTGAGCTGCACAACAGTCCTCTTTCCCCCTCAGACTTGATTGAAACAATGGAAATAAATTAACAGTTTTTTTCTATAACCATGAGAAGCTAAAGTGTTGATGACAACCACTTCAGGGAGTGACACTTTCCTGATTAACTTACATTTTAATTAACTTACATTTGAATGATTCAGGATTTTGTTTCTTTTAGCAGCTTAGGTATTTAGATCTGAAGCTGTTACAACTTCACAGGTTGACACCTTGGTGTCTCTCCTGCCTCATGTCAATGTCTACAAACACTGTAGACTATTGTAACCAGCTTGTTTCAGATACATATCATCCCAACTGTCTTTGTAGTTACTGGTTCCAGTGTTTAAAGCAGTACATTACATTGCACACTTGCATATCTTCTCTGTATATTTATTATTTTATTATATATTTAATATTTGCACATCACACACACACACACGTGCAGTTATTTCCCTCACTGTTAACTGCTGTATGTGTGATTGCTTTTTTTCCCCATTTGTTTTCACTTTTCATTATGTTTACCACCTACTTTTTCTCAATCCATGACTAATCATTTGGTCCATAGAATGTGAGTATATTGTGAAAAATGTTTTTATGTCGAGTTTAGTCCAGCCGATGGTCCAAAACTCAAGAATATTCTATTTACAGAGATATAAAGCAGATACAAGCAGCAGATTCTCACATTTGAGAAGCTGGAACCAAACGAATATTTGGCATTTTTGCTTGAAGAGTGACTTTATTCTATTTCCTATCTTAACTCAGCAATATGTTCCTTCTGCTGTATTCTTATCTACAGTTGGATTATTTCTTTGCTGCTGCAGTGACCCATCTTAATGTTTCCTGGCTCATGTTTTGTGGCAAAACCCGAGAGAAGCTGGATGGAAATAACCAGCATCCTGGTTTCCAGTTTAATCCCTCCAAGAGGTGCTTGATACAACACCATGTTAGGTAGCGAGAGAAGCTGTGTGGGTGTATGAGTGAGTGGATGAGTGAAGATGAGTTTGAATATAGAGAGCATTGAGAGGAGTGAGCTGGATATTGGCAGCAGAAAGCACAATTGATACAATTTGTTGTTTTGTACTGAGAACATGTGGAAGCACGTACTCTCCTCACATCTGACCTGAGTAGATAACATAAATTTTTTTTTTCATAAATTTCAAGAGATGTGGTTGAATATTTTGGAAGATTTAAGACTCGGAAATGGTTTGCGTAAACACGTGTATTGACCACATGATGTTGGTATGTCGGACAAGCAGTGATCGCATGAATGCCTCAAATCACATACCGTTTGTAAGTGAGTGCTGGTGAATGTCAAACCTGAATTTCTCTCTGCAAAATGTATTTCATGGCAAATGCAAGCTAATTCCTTGTTACTTAAATATCAGTTTAAAACAACCTCAGTGAAAGGCTCCTCTGCAGTACACTACATTTTGTAGCACATGACCTACTACAATCAAACTTTTAGCTCTGGGGGATTTTGAGGCATCATCAACAGCAAATTCTTAGAAATTCAGGAGGGGGGTTATTTAAATTGAATACCCAGCTTTGGACTTGAGAATGACTCCATGTCAGCTATTAGTTACTGTACAAAATCGAGGTAAAATGGTAACTGTGAGGCATTTAAAGACAAATTGCAGACGAGCAAGGATGAGACGAACTGAAATAATCTGCATAGATATGCCTCAGAAGGGAATTTCTTGTCAAAGTCCAATAATCTAATTGGATTGTATTGAATACTATGAGCATGAGGAAACCCCTCATCAAGGTGTGTGTGTGTTTTTCACTTTCGTTGCAATAAATAATGGAATCAACCGCCTGGTGTGTGGTGTGGTTTGGCTTATCCTAATGAGGACTGGATTCATCCTCAGCCTCTGACAGTAGTGGGATATGCTGCTCTCCAGCCTGTTTCCATGGAGATACTCTGCTGTAGCATCCCCCCCCACCTCTTCTTCTGTACATTTCTACCAAACAGTGCTGCTTTATGAGAGGGATCTGGGCCAGGGTGTGTGTGGGCTACAATGGTGTGAAAACAGGCACACAAACATGTATGGCGCCATTGATGGATATGCTTTTGCTATTGTGGTAGTATTAAGCTCTACCGCAGTTTATGTGCAGTGTGTGTGTGTATGTGTGTGCTGCAGCTCAGTATCTCCAGTAGTGTGATTATGATATGTGTAAGTGTGTGTTGTACTCTTTCTCTCCCGGTGTGACATGCTAGTAGTGGCTGCTAATCTTGGAGCTTGGAGTGCTGTCCCAAGTGTGAACGTTTGTGTATGTCATGCTGGGTTATGACAGGGCTGAATGGTGAGTGGGCATGGACAGAGTATGTGAGAGTGTGCATGTTGGGTACGTGAGATAGTGAGTCAGAGTGACGGAAAGAGTGAGATCACGAGAGTGCGAGGTTGAGAAGAGAGAGACGGAGAAACAGAGGGTGAAAAGACATGATGATCTATCGATGGTCGACTGTAAACCGTGAACGATGTTAATCTCACTGAAAGAAATCCTGCGGCATTATGTGAGCCACATGTGTGACATTGAATGTGTGTAGTTACTGTATATGTATCCCCCGAGGGATGTAAAGGCCAACAACTCTGGTTCTTGGTTACAATGTGACAAAGGTGACAAGTGATTCCTGGCCAGACAAAGAGGCCACCACGGGGACAGAGTGTGTCGAAAATAGCTGCGAAAAGGATCTTTCTGTCTCTGTAGAATGATGCAGTGCAGACCTGAACAGAGAGTCCCTGCTGTATGAAGGCCAGGGCAATCCCTGCAACACGATTTCTAATCCTGAAGCTCTGCCCTGTCAATATGCAGCCTGTATTCGTTTGAAGGGTACATCCTCCCTTTGATTCAACGGACATATCTGGTAGTTTTTTGGGTGCGTTGCTGCCTGGTTTTGTCAGAAACCCATGGTTTAAGACATGGGCTGTGTAAACTTTTCAAATTAACCTTAAATTGATTCAAATAGCTGCTGAGAGCCAAAGATATTCAGTTTACTATCACAGAGGACTAAGAAAACCTGAAATATTGACACAGTGAAAGCCGGAGCCTTAAAGTTTTGGCATTTTTCCTGAAAAAGAAATTCAAATGAAATTTGTTGCTGATTAATTTTCTGTCGCTTGACTAATTGATTCACAGACAGATTCTTTCAGCTCCGCATCTGAGCAAACAGTTGCTTATTTACACATCCAGCAGTTAATAGAGCAACATTAAAATTCATGTGGAGTCGTGTTTGTGGACACCTGATGAATGTAAGTCCAATATTCACTCTCTTTTAGTTCTGTTGTTTGGTCTCCACCAGCTCCTGAGGGAAATATCTGTCTCTTTAGCTGCTAAATGCTCCACTATGTCCACCAGCTAGTCTTTAACTGTGTTTGTCTGATGTTTGATGTGTTTGGAGCGTCAGGTGCCTGCTGTTAAAACAATGCGGTGACAGCATTAAGAGTGAACCAAAACAGTAAAGTTTTGGGTCGGACAACTAAACAATGGAGACGCTATAAAGCTCTGTAAAACCGAGGGGAGCAGCAGATTCAAGTGAAGGTTTTCTGTAAGTTCATCACTAAGAGTGAGCCCTTTGACATTTTTTGACATTTGATTAAAGCACCTTTATTTGGATTTAATTAAAATGTCATGTTTTTGTTTCTATTTAAAATTAAATCTGACTTACAAATAGCTTTCGGTTGCTGGTTGAATCTTTTTCAAATCCTGGCTACGGCCCTGCCTACACTTCAAAAACATCCCCAACCAAAGCAGTTATTAGATAGAAACAGATAATGGATACATAAAGCAAATGTGTTTTTTCCAATTTGGTCTTTGATTTTACATTTTAAATTCATACCAGGAAAAAAGAAGAAAGAGATCAGAATCAGCTTTATCGACCTATGTAGTTAATCGGGATGCCATCAAGCGTGAAATTGATATGAGAGTGTGTGTGTTCTCTCTGGCAGCATCCATAGTGAGCATCTCCATAGCTGATAATAGGATATACTGTGTGCAGGGTTAGCCTGTAGAGAAGCTGGGTGGTAGCAGTCATCTCAGTCTATTGCACTCTGGGGAGCGCTTATAGGATCAGTAAGAGTCAGGCAAGAGAGAAGCTGTGTGTGTGTGTGTGTGTGTGTGTTGTATGTGTGTGTATCCACACTAAGGTTGCCACATGAGCTCGATCCTTCGCCAGTGCCGTGGTACCTGGCGTGCGTTAATGGCCAGAGTGTTCTGACTCATGCAGGGCGATGATGCCTGCCAGGTGGTACACGTCCACACAGGGAATTCAGAGTGCTAATACTAATGTGCTAAACCAGCAACCAGTCAGGCAAGGGGGGGGGGAAGCCAGAGCGCCACGGACAAGATAAGATAAAACACCGGCAGGGCACGGCAGCGTGCACCGCTTAGCTGGTTTACTCAGCTGAAAGCCCTGACGCTCTCCGTTTCTATATCATGTACGTAAACATGTGAGCACACTTGCACAGCGACAGACAGGAAGTCATCTATAGAAAAGCACTTTGCAGGTGTTCAGACATAACACCTGAAAAGCAGATGTTTGCTAAGAAGAAACAACTGGTTTGACATTCGCTTTCATCCAAATTTGTATTTAGTTGTCAAAACGTCATCACTTCAGTGATAAAGTGGAGCTTTATTCTAGGCTGCTGTCCTGCGTTCACAGTCAGAACACGACAGCCTCGAATACTGGTTTTAACTTCTTTTATATTT